CGGGCAAAGGACATGATGGCCTTTGTTCAAGCCCTAGCTGACAAGCACATGATCGAGTGGGTATTCAAATTGTTGGACCCCGCTTCTGCTGATGGGGAAAGCTCCTTATGTACGAGGCCACCAACGTTACTGCTTATGAACAAAGAGGCTTTGTTATCATGTGCCCCAGAGGTGAAGTGGACGAACAAACTGGTGAAAGTTTCTTACCACAGCTCCCAACACCAGAAATGGCCTTGAAGTGGTTCAATGAAACCTTTACACCGGCCTACATGCAATAAGTGTACGACCCGGCAAAGAAGAATGAACCCTACCTAGTTCTCGACGAACAGGACAAGTGGTACAAGGTCCATGAAACCTGGAGTGAGCTGATCACCCACTCCGACATCATGACTCACCTTTTGACGGATTCTTGGATCGATCAAGGCGAATACCGCACTGTATCCGAATTCCTCAAGGACGACAAGGCCCATGTGTACTCTATTTGGCCTCGTGGTACACTCCCGGCTTCACGTCTTAAGTCCGTTGATTTCACCGAAACAAACTTGGATGCATCGGACTTCGGACGCATGCGGGCCATCACTTGTGCCCGTCGCAACATTATTACAAGCCACTAAGCACGCACACCATCCCCCGCCCCCACCTATACTCCACCAGTTCGCCTTCAAGCTGCCACCCACTGGCCTTCCCCATGGTTTTGCACTTCCCCCCGGCATGAACTTTGATGCCTTCTTGGGAACTCTTCACGAAAAGCACCAGCAGGAGAACGGTGGTAAGTCTCTACAGTAGCTTCCCGTATAAATCCCCGTGCCTTCACTTTCAAATCCCAATACTGGACCTCCCAATATTATTCGAAACCATCCCAGTTCCAATGCAACCAAAACGTCAATCTCCCGTCCCACCTGTTCCAAACCACGTCGGCCAAAGAGTCACCTGCGAATAGTCAGAATGATGACACTCCACAAGGATAAGAAAGCTGCCGAACTTGCTCACGTCCTATTACCGAATACCCCAGTTCCGACGAAGAGCGGGAAACAGAGGAAAAAGAAGACACCAAGCTCCCAGCGGAAGCGAGCCAACCCTCCACTTAACACACGTTGACTTCAAAATTGCAAAACCTAAACCCTAAATATAAGCCACATGATTCACACTCCGGTTCACGCGCCCCTTAAGGTCTGGCCGTCGCTACACGCAGTTTCGAGCCAAAATATCGGAAATCTCAACCCTAAAATACTAATTAAGAATCGAGCTATTCAGCTATCCTGTTGATGCCAATGATGGGCATCAACAGGAACAACGAAACAGGAACACAAACAGGCCCAAAGTATCGAAGATAATGCAAGATGGGGCTCTCAAACCATAGCTACCGCTGTGATTCGTTGCCTATTATTCTGTGGTTGTCGATAGGGAGGGAAGGATCTGGTCGAGAAACACGTTTTGGCCCATTCGACGCAAATTTTCAGATCTTTTGCAATCGGATAGGCCTGACTGATCATGCGTTTGCCGCGGCTTTTGAGGGAAGACCCAAGAGAAATGAGATGATGGAGAGCCAGAGTCTCCTGGGATACTGTCGCCATGGCGAAACGCCGAACGAAACGCGATGCCGATGCAGAGACGCCTGACAAATGGCATCCACTTTCAGACCAGACAAATCGTCCTGCATTCTCGCCTGCTTTTGCTTCCCCGCCTCCAAAGAGAGGGCTGCGGACATTGGCAACCCCAATATTCAAGAAAGGTGGTCTTTTCGCTTCACCCTCAAAAGAAACACTACCTTCAAAACTGTCTGTGGCAACACAAACCGACAATGTGACGACAAAATGTGCATCCACACAAACCGATGCAATTCCGTCCCTTGCCTTTGAAAATGAAATTATTACAGGGTATCCAGGCCGACAACTGCAGCAGCAAGTATACGACACATTGAATGCTCTACATTCTCAACAGAAGGACAAGGATTATGTCCGTCTATCGCTTCGTCATGGACAACAAACATATTTGAAGATCCCCAATTTGCGCGTTCGAGCAACAAAGAATGCATCCAAGCAGGCCAGCAAGAAGCTTTGCAAGAATACAGCTCTGGTTTCAGGGCTTCTTGATCGCCTATTTGGAGTTGCTTTCCGGCATATGATCCCAAACGTTTTGGCTAGCATTGGCAGTCAATTTCGGCTCGCAGTTGTTCCAATCCATGAATCAGCATTGACGATCTGCCAGGCAGTGGCGCTTCGAGATTTTGTTCCGACGTCCACAAGAGGTCTCGAGAGGCTTGCGAACGCCCTCCATGACAGTGCTCCATTCCTTGGAAACCTGCTGTTCCCGAAGCAATTGCGCCGCCGCATTTCCGAGTATGAGCAATGCACCCTTGACGTCGAGTTGAGCTTTGAGGTCTTGTCTTTGGAGATGAACGGAGATGGGAAAATGAAACCTTGTCCGCATGCTTGGGTATCAAACCCTCCTATTGTCATTGAGGGTCTCACAAGAAGTGCTCTTGTCACTGGCAAGTTTCAAGAGTCGAGTCTGATCTCCGCTCACAATGCTGAGATCCTGGTTGTCCAAGGCTGTGACAAAGGAGGCAATCTTACCCTCAGTTTGATGCGCATTGCCAATAGGCTGGATGGGAATGCTCCATCCTTTTGTTTTCCTCTGGCATTCTACGAAGATGGGAGGGAGTCTTATGGGAATCTTGCGAGGACTATATATGACAACTCGAGGCCAGCCACAAAACCAATCCAACCGTATCTTCAGGCATTGCTTGATGGGAAACACCACATTATTGTGGTTTCATCCTGTCAAGGGAATGAGACGGTTGATGCCCAGTGTTTAGCTGTTGAGTTCGAGGGCTACTGTGTTTACAAAAAGAGCGAGGCTGCGATTCAGGATTCATGCAATCGCCTCTTCCCTGACGCTGACCACCGCGAGTTGTCAATGTCAACCGAGGATGCAAGGAGTCGAAAGCAGCCAACAGTTGTGACTCTGGATAAGGTTCAAAGTTGCCCTCTAGCAGTCCGACTTGTGCAATCCAATCCTACCAAAAAGGGGGACGAGCCCTTGGAAACGGAAGGAGTAGAATACTCCGGCATCCTTTTGTACCAATCCTTGGAGGCGACGAGGACTCTTGTCAGCAGGCTGCGGTTTACGTCAGCGCTGTTTGTCCAGACAACATGTGAAGTTAAGATTCGGTGCTACGCTTGCAGGCCATTCACGGCGGACGACCTCAAGCTTAACATCGCAGTTTCTGGACAAGGCACCGCAGCAAGCAAATACCCTTGTCCGATCTGCATTGCTTCCAGTGATGAGTTTGCTCAATGTGTGCATGGTCTCACACCGTCCCCTTTGCGAGAAGGAGAGTTTCACAACGACACTTTATATACAACATTCATGAAGGTTGCTGGTGGAAGATCAACAAAGGTGGCAAACGATTCATCGGCAGCATCCATGAAAATCAAACGCACAGCAAAGAGTGTTGTCGCCAGACCTTTGCTTTTGACTCCACCGTCACAGAATACTGCGGGCTCCATGCACGTGTGCCAAGGAATGATGACACATCTTACTCGTAGGACGTTCAAACTGCTACAAAAGATTGACCGAAAGGCTGTGTGGTACACCGAATTGAAAGATGCCGTCAAAGACGCAAGTGACATCAAAAATATAAAAGCAAAGCTTCAAGAGATGCACCAACAAGACCGTGCAATCTATAACAATCTGCAAGCAGCGACGAAATGGCCCAACATTCCATCGCAAGCCGAACGAGCCAAAAACCTCTTGAACGAGCGAGAACAACACACCATTCAGAGTGCAATGGTTGCATGGGCTGCTGTTGTCAAGGCCGGTGAAGAGCTTTCGGCGTCTGGAAGCAAGTTTGTCAAGGACTCTGGCTCCAAACCGGAAGGAGAGGCAAGTTACTTGCTATATCAATCCTTCTGTGTCGATGGAGGAGTAAAATTCAACGTTGAGCATTCTGGGCTCGAGTTGACCAATGCTAATGGTATCAAAGTCCTGTCTAAATACAAGAAGATTGCCAGTCGAGTCGAGCAAGCCTACTGCGACAACCCACAATTACAAGAGGAGGTGAAAGAAGTGATGACAATGTGGCGTACACTAGCCGAGCTGTTGCTTGAGATCTCGGCAATTCTTAAACGACAATGCAAGCTATCAGATGACGAGGTAAATCGCCTCAAGTTGTGTGCCGAGCAGTATGGCCAGCAGTGGATCTCGATGATACCCGGCAAAGATACGGTTTTTAACAAGCTCCACACTCTGATTGCCCATTTGACAGAGTTTGCTGAGCAACACAAAACGATTGGGCTGGTTAACGAAGAGAGCTTCGAGGCGACTCATCCAAGGGCGCAGACAATCAGCAATCATTTGAAAAGCATGGTGTCGACAGAAGGCAAAGTCACGAAGACTATCCAACGCTTTTCACTTGGATTGAACAATGATTACCAAACAACACGCACTGCCCTCCAAGACGATAGGAAGATGGGCCAAAGAAAGCTCAACGATGGTGACAAATACAAGGTTGCGCATCGCTCTCGGCAACACGATATGGCTCCAATCACCAATCAATCAAACAATAGCAAGCTACCGGACGGTCTCGTGCACGTTGACACAAACCAATCCGTGGTGAAGGCGAAGTGGCTACCATATTACGACTATTTGGTTTGCTCGAGGGTCCCTCCTGCTTGGCGGAAAGCCTTTGCAGATGATGATGCAATTGGCAGCGTTTACAAAGTCAAATCGGAATACGTTTGAAGGTCTAGTTGTAGCGTTCGTTAATTATTGTAATGGCAACGATCTATTGATTCAAGATTCGTCTTTTCTATCTTGAGGAGATGATAGCAGCATCGTCGTTGTGCAGCACTCTCCCAAACAAACAAAATAGTATGAGATTACAGCTTCCATACTCTAGCTAGGTTTAGAAACAAACTAGACACTCAAATGTTTTGGGCGTTGCTGTATGGTTGTTACGAATTCTTATACCGGCTACTGGATAATTCGATGGCAAGATAGTGGCCATGCAATAAGCAACATCATTTGCCTTTGTTCCGACTGTCACTCGTTAATCATTCTCTACCACCATTCTAATCTTCAAAAGTCTCAAAAGTAAAGCCAGAGCCAGCACTGAGATCAGATCCAATGGACTTGTACTGTGGCAGGTCAAAGGTTACAATCTTCACAGCAGGCTTGGCATTGAGAGCTTCGAGGTTCCCAGGAGGATCTTTGCTCTTCCTGGTCCAGACCTTGGGCGGATTCCTCTGGCCCACTCGAGGCTCCTTGCCCTGGGGATCTTTGCCTTCTTCTTTCTCTGCATGAAGTTCCTTCTCTTGCTTCTCTGGAGCCTTGACAACCACACCTACATCCTCGTCCGTAACTGGAGTCGTAACTGGCACGGCCACTGACTTCGGCTTCGCACAACAAGGGAAATCAAAAAACTGTGAGTGCCCACAGGCCAACAAGAGAATGATCTGTGTGTTGTGGATTGTTTTGATCACCATCTGCCTCATATGGAAGGCAAGCATGGGATCTCTAGACGTGCAGAGACAATGAGATTCCACATCCTCATTGGCCAAGAGCAGGTTGTGAAATCCTTCAGCCTGTTGTTCAGATAACATTCTGCCACTCTTGAAGTTCCAAACCACAATCTCACTGGACTGGGTAGTATCTGAATGGTCTATGCACCTGTCAATGCGATAGCAGAAATCATCTAGGTCTCTCTCGGTGACTGGTTTTAGTGATTCTTCGCTCTTCATTGAGACGCAGGTCATTTCCCCACTGCGATTCTTGTGGAGGTAGGATAGTGTAGTAGTGCTCCTGGTGGGCATGGTTGCGTTGTTGCTATGCTCTTCTCTTCTTCTCTTGGAGGACTATGCGAACAGATCTGCAGGCCGGTCGATTGCCTGGTACAGCACAAGAAAACCCAAGCTTGGCGCCGAAGAGCGGATGGCGATCTCCACCATCGAGTTTGAACTCATCCTTTCAAACAAAAATTGAGCATGAGCCACCCTAGTTGCCCTTGAAGCTACAGCCACTCAGATAGGCATCAACTACCACCAGACCAACAAGACTAAGCCTGTTATCTTGCCTCTAAAGCCGTCGACACGGGAGGGGAAACCTCATTGTCACGGTTTTGTGCTTATTTGAAATTGCAATATTGCCTCCGCAGGTGCTGATAGGGTTAGAGCTCACGAAAGCTAGTCGTTTGCTACGGACCACGGCCAGACCTTAAGGGGCGAAATGCCCATTTTGAACCGAGGTGTTCATTCGATTCTATTCACCATTATCCTGTATTAGTAGACAAGTTAAACTAGTACTGGAAACGGAGACGACCCAGGGGGCATATGAATACTAGTATTGCTTGTGAAACATGGATCAACGACCAATTCGACTGCAATTTGAGTCCCGCCAATGCCAATCGTTGTGAAGTCTTGATGAGAACCCCTTTTTCGAGCTGATAAAATCACCGACGCTTCTTCACAACTACAGCGAGCTAGCACTAGTACTTTTATCTATCGCCGCCGACTATTGATTGATCAACAAACCCCACCATGGCCCTTAGCAAGGTAGAGCAGGATTACAGAAGATTACTTGAACAGGCGGTGGCTGCTTTCCACGCAGGCGATCGACGTCGTTCCGCTGACAAGTACCTGGAAGCCTTTCGAAACTCCCCCTCCGATTGGACCAAGGATCGCTACCACACGCTTCATGGGTACACCTCGGTTTTGAGAGAACGATACTTTGAACCCTCCCAAGAAGATTTTAATGCCTTGGCGACCATTGGAGATTCGAAGCACGAACCCCATGTGTACCGATCCGAGGCCATGTGGACGTTGGGGCTTTTGAAATCGGATCTGGGCAAGCGGCAATACTGCGCCGACTTGTACAGATCTGCGATCCACCTCATCGACACGGCCAAACCGAAAGAACGCAAGAAAACGGTGATGGCTTCCCTTTATGGTAAGATGATGCCCGCCATGTACAAGGTCGAAGAAATCCTTCGGGATACCCGAAAAACCATTCAGAACAATCTGACAATGATGGAAACACAGATACCAGCCGAAAAGGAATGGAGTCACAATATGCGATCCGATGGGACCGCCATGGAAAATGTGAAGCACAGGCCGTTGTATCCTTTGGCACGCGCTGACTTGTTGGAACGCATCAAAGTGGGTGGAAACTATTGCGACTGCTGCAAAAAGACACTGAAAGAGCTCGGTGTCCCCCAGCTTGAAAGCTGTGCTCGTTGCAAGCTGACGTACTATTGTTCCAGAGAATGTCAAAAAGAAGCATGGAGTGCGGGTCACAAACAAGCTTGTCGCAAGAAACATCAAATCAAGCAAGGTGATGTTGTTGGGGATTCGCGATTAGGGATTCAACCCCTGTACCTCTGTACTAGAATTTCACAGTAGAAATACAGAGCCCACCCACTTTTTCAGTAGTATCTCAATAGCAACAGTAAATACTAGAAGAGAGCTTAGAGCAACTAACATACTACTGAAAAAGCGGTCTACTATCGTGTGAAGAGGAGCCTATCGAAGCATCGAAGCAACGAACCAACGGTAGCAGGAAGATCGCGACGACGCAAGAGGAGCGAGTATCGGCCGAACGCCGAACGCCGATCGCGACGACGCAAGGATCGATAGAGACCAAGCCCTTCACGACTGGAGGCAACGCGACGACGCAAGAGATCCGAGGACGGATAGCGACGCCGCAACAAGAGAAGCCTGTTTGTTCGACGTTCGAACGACAGCAACAAGAGAAGAAGCCTGTCGAAGCAACGACAGCAACGAGTGAAGAATCCGAGGACGGATTCGAAGAGCAAGATCGGACGACCGAGGATTGTCGTGCCGATAGGAGACTGCAGCCGACGACGACGCGAGTATCAGTCGACGGCAACAGCAAGAGTTTCATCGGCAGAATCCACAAGGATTGCCGAGAGCCGACAGCATCCAGCCGGAACTGTCAGAGCCAACAACAAGCGCGAAAGCCATAGTGCCAGCGCAGGGGCCAAAGGAACGGCACCCAACAAGGAATCAACAATACAAAGAAACGGGTTCGGAGTGGAAACGACCGCACAGTGTGTGAAGCAATCGTTCCCTCCCTGCAAGATCTTTAGTAAATAGACCTTACCACATCCCGAGCAGGACGTACTACATTTGAAGTTTGATCCGCCATCAGCATAACAGGCACGACATTAAGATACGTCGGACGCCAGACACATAAAACTTAACAGCAGCCTTCGTCAACTCCAAAAAAACAACGAAATGCAATGATACCCACCTACCGTACGCACTAGCGACAGATGGACGCCGGTCAGACGGTACCACAGGACAGCAGCGTGGCCGAGGACGGCGGGACAGCACAAGCACCGCGGACATGGAAGACACCACCACCATCCGTCGAACCGCCAGAAAAGGCTTCCCAATGCAGCGACGCCCTGCCGACCCAACAATGGTAATTAAACTTCGGTTCACACACCCTGGCTCTGAACGGCAGACCAGAATTGCTACCGCACATGGGATGCAAGGATACGTCATCCCCTTCCGGGCACAACCCACGATTGCGCGTGACCGACACTGAGCCAACTGAGCGCTCACGCAACTGAAACAGACGTGTCTGCTTAGCCAACGGACTCAGTACTCAGAGGAGCAACCAGCAACAAGCCGGCTAGAACCGCCGCCAGCGCGACCACGACACCGTCGAACAGACACCACACTCTCGCTCATCTAACACAGGCAGCGGACCAGAAGGACAGCCTAGCAGCTACTGACAGGACGCACCAATTACTAGCACCGAGGCTCATTGACCACCTCTCGCGCTCACGCCGCTTACGCACACTAACGATGGAGAAAGCAAAACTCGAAGATGAAATAGCCAACCTCAATGCAGCCATAGAAGATCCAACGGACGAGGAACTCGGGGAACTCGAGAGAGCAGAGTATGCAGGGCTGATGAAGAACCACCTTACGAAGTTGGCAAAACTACAAGAAATTAGAGGCAAAGCATTCAAAATTGATCCTAGGGCAGTGCACCCGAACATTAAAGGACAAGATGAAACAGAACACGGACTACGAAAACGTCCTGTTAAGATGCGAACCACTGGAGCTACGAAAAATGACCCATAAGACGATCATGGCCAGACCGATGATAATTTTGTGTACCAAACATTATTGCAACTGGAAAAACAACTGAAGAATTTCCACCAAGGGAGACTCACCGCTTCCGAATACACGAGCAATTTACCACGAAAAAGGACATTGCAAAATCCGTGGATATTTCCAAGCTACACGATGCAGCCCTGCTGCATACGGCGAAAATACTCCACCCAAACACAGAATACGCTTGACCAGGAGCCCGATGGACCAGAGGAAAGTCTCGGAATACGCTGAAGAACGGGACTATAGCTACATCTTCTTAAAAAATAGTTTCAGCCGAAGATACCAAGCTTAAACAGATCCTGAGGGACGACTTTGCAAAAGGCACTGATAACTATCCCCACAAGTTACATGAGGTATTACACCTTTGGGACAAACACACCAAGAGTAACATCCACCGACAGTCCACTTCCCACGGAAGCTCTTTTGCTCAGACAGCACAAGGCGAGAGAGGACGGGTGGTGGCAGAGGAAAGGGCCGCGGAAACGCGAGCCATGATAAAGAATACTGGTAAAGAGAAAGAATGTTTTTCCTGCCACGAAAAAGGACATCCAGCATCGCACTGTCCTGACACAGATAAAAACAAAGATAAAGACAAAGATAAAGACAAGGACGACGATGACAAGTCTAAGTCGAGCAAGCGTAGCAAATCAAGCACGTCGAGCAAGTAAAGCTCTAGTAGCGTTCATAGGAGAACCCTAGCTACTTTCAGCAAACTGCAAGATACAATGACGACAGCATTGACAACCCTGGAGGTAGAACAGGATGATGCCGAATCTGACATCACGCAGTCAGATGAAGAAAAAGTCGAAAAAGGTTTCGTTACGTTCGACGTACCGCTGTTCGCGGACTGAACGAAGACGGAAACGAAGAAAACGACTAAGCAAGGCATAATCGCTCAGACACAAAAGGATTGGACGACATAGATAGGAGAGAGATCCAACTACTGGACAACCAGTCCACGTTGGATTTATTCGGTAATAAAGACATGGTTACCGGCATCAGGAAAGCCGATCGTACAATTACAGTGAAGAGTACCGGAGGCAAGTTGAAGGTCCAGCACACAGACAAGCTAGCTGGACACAAAAAGAGAGTATGGTTAGATGAAAGAGAAATCACGAACATCTTATCAGTTAAGAATGTCCGCAAGAATTGCAACATCGTCTACGACTTTCCGAAAGGAACGTACACATTCATTAGACCAGGCCTACTGGACGTAGTATAAGAAATGAACATTGAAGGATTACACGTTCATGACCCTAGGAAATAAGGGAAGGCACTTGTGAAAACTGTCGCCGAAAATAAGAAAGGCTTCAGCAAACGACAAATTAAAGCCGAATCAAGGGCAAAGCTGCTATATAAGCAACTCGTCTATCCATCGAGTAAAGATTTTCGATGGGCGTTTATGAGCAATCAAATCGAAAATTGCCCAGTGACCGTCGAAGAAATCGACACGGCACAAGCCATATGGGGCAAGGGTATTGATGCGTTGAAAGGAAAGACCACTCTTACGAAACCGAACGCAGTGGCAGGCAATGCAATGAATGTGCCGAGAGACTTTTTGGAATTACACAAGGATGTTTTCCTAACGATGGACATTTTTTTTGTGGCAGGAATTCCGTTTCTGTTAACGCTAAGCCTTAAAATCGATTTTACAACTTCTAGACACCTGCCCAACAAGAAGCTAGAGACCATCCTAGACGCATTCCAGGAGGTCTATCGATTCTAACAGGCTCGTGGTTTTAGAATCACGGCCATTCATGTGGACAATGAATTTGAGCCTCTGTCCAACAAAATCATGGCAATGCCGGGAGGACCGGTAGTGAACGTTGCCATTGCTAACGAGCACGTACCCGAGATCGAACGTAGAATCCGGGTATTCAAGGAAAGGACACGAGATGTCCGACATAGCCTACCGTTTACACGACTGCCAAAAATATTAACCGTAAACTTGGTGTTACAAGTCGACAAACAGTTGACGTACTTACCAAGTAAGGCGGGGGTCAGCGAGACCATGAGCCCCCGTATGATAATGATGGAAGAGTCCCTGGACTATAAAAGCACCTGAGCCTGCAGTTCGGAGACTACTGGCAGGTGCACGAAGAAGACTCGCCCCGTATCAGCATGGTAGGACGCACAAAAGCGGCCATCTGTATGTGAACGAGCGGAAATAAACAAGGAAGTTACAAATTTATGAGCCTCAGCCCCGGCAAGAAAATTACTCAGCATTCATGGGACAAGATCTCCAATGCCCGACACATGATAGCTAGAGTCAAATCTGTTAGGAAAAGATCAGCCTAAACTATCGTTTTACTGATCGAATGACCCATTCTGATGTCGATATGCATCACTAGAGAGTGACGGGGAAGAAGAGCAATGACGCCACCCCACTACCATGAACCAAACAATGAGCCTGGACGCGGATGCTGAAACCATTGCAGAATGGAATGATCCCGACGTCCCCAGAGACAACGTCAATAACGAGACGATGACGAAGCAGGTCCAACCGAATGAAATCGTCAACGCGAAATCGTTAATACGAGAAAAGACCGGTTACCAACCATCGTCAAACGGTAGGAAACCGCCTATACGGACCAAACAGCCCTTGGAACAGATCCCAGGAGTGGCGGTGAAACCCAAGCGGCACCAGAGCAACCGAGAGAGTTGCGGCAGGTGTAGGTTGGGGACAAGAAAGGATCGTATGTTCCCAGCTATGGAAGAGTAGAGACTGCCAAACGTCCATACAAGAACGTTGTCTTGACCCGATTGACACACATGTCTCTACACAGTAGGTAGAAGAAGAACCTGATGTCGTAGCAGCCATCATGCACGTGTCATTGAAGGGTGGACTCAAGGGATGGAAGGAAAAAGCAGCACGTGCAGCCTTTGCCGAGATAAAACAGTTACATCTCAGGGGATACCTTCCGTCCGAAGAAAGGAAGAACTCAGCGAAATGGAACGCAAGAGTATTCTAGAGTCACACCTGTTCTTAAAGTTGAAAAGGAATGGAAGATCAAAGGCGAGCGGTGGCAGGAGGCAACAAACAGCGTGACTTCATCATCCAAGGAAGGGACGCTAAGGGCTCGCCAACTTATTGTGTCGAAAGAAGCAGTGCTACTATCCTGCATAATCGACGCTGAAGAGGAAAAGGATGTGGCAGTAATTGAAATCCCGAAACGCCTTCATCCAGACAAAGTCGAGGATGAAAAAGACATGGTAATAATTAGAGTAAGAGGGTACTAGTAGACATGCTGTGTGAAATAGCCCCAAGATGTCTACAAACCGTTCGTAACAACGGATAAGAAAGGCAACAAGCAGTTGCTATGCAATGCTTGAATGCCATCTACGGCACTATGGTAGCTAGCCTACTATACTACCGTAAGTTCCGAAAGACGATGGTCCGGAACGATTTAAGATTAAACCTTACGACCCTGTGTAACCAACAGAATGGTGCACGGCAAGCAACAAACAGTCTGCTGGCATGTAGACGACTGTAAGCTTAGCCACAAAGGACTCGAAGGTTAACGACCAGCTGATCCAAGTGCTTCGTGATGAATACGAAAGCATTTTCGAGGACGGCACTGGAGAATGACGGTGAGCCGGGAAAGGTCCACACGTATCTTGGCATGACCATAGACTTCACGACGAAGGGTCAATGCAACGTCAATGTACAAGTACGTTGATGAAATCCTGGAAGCCTTCGAAAAGGCATCGCCAGAGGAAGGGGGCACGAAAACTAGAGTAGTGCAGCCCCGAAAAACCTATTCACAGTAGACGAATCCCAAGAAGCTCCCAACGAGCAAGGCAGACACCTTTCACAGCCTGGTGGCTAAGGTGTTATTCGCTACGAAGAGAGCCCGACCAGACACAGGTACGCGATATCGTTCCTTACGACTAGAGTCAAGGAACCGGATAGGCAGATTGGGATAAACTAGTCACCTCATGCAGTACATTAGACGTACTAGAAAACTACCATTAGTTTTCAAGCCGACGGAAGTGCATATTGAAATGGTATGTGATGGTTCTTCGAGTCCATCCAAACATGAGGGTCACACCGGAGGTGGTTTGACCATGGGCACCGGTTACCCATTATCGACTTCGACGAACAGAAGTGAACACGAGAACTCAACTGAGAGTGAACTCGTAGCAGTTGTGACCTGATGCCATCGATCCTTTGGACGAGGCAGTTCCTACGGGAGCAAAGCTATGTAGTTAAAGAAACTATAGTCTATCAGACAACAAGAGTGCCATCTTCTAGAGAAGAACGGCAAAGCTTCTAGTAGTAAACGAACGAAGCACATCAACATTAGGTACTTCTTTGTGGCGACAGAGTCGCAAAGAGGAGATCAGTGTGGACTGGTGTCCAACTGATGATATGGTTGCGGATTCTGGACGAAGCCGAACCAAAGGTCGACTGTTCAAACAGAACGTGACAAGTTGATGTGGTGTTGTGGAACACTCGAGCCAGGGGCACATCAGAGGAGGGGTCAACTGGTCGGAACAAGAAGGTCCGTTCAAAGAAGGAGCGCTAAGCGCAGTAAGTAAGTAAGCATGGTCGACGACTAGGACAAGCTCGACGACCACAGGAGTGTGTTGGGGATTCGCGATTAGGGATTCAACCCCTGTACCTCTGTACTAGAATTTCACAGTAGAAATACAGAGCCCACCCACTTTTTCAGTAGTATCTCAATAGCAACAGTAAATACTAGAAGAGAGCTTAGAGCAACTAACAGATGTCATGCAGTTGTTTGGACTCAAGGCTAAACCCGAATTGAATAGTCAACTCGTCGATATCCTTGGCCCCGATCCCAACAACGAAGGGCGTTGGAAGACCAGGCTGGTTGTAAATTTGAATCCCCAGGGTGATGGCACGATGAGTATTGCCACGGAAAAGCTAAAGCATATTCGACCCGTGGCCTAGTAGTGCTTGGAACGATCCATAGTCCATTCAATACATTTTCAAAATTGCCGTTCAGTGAATCAACAGTTATCTTGCGCTCAAAGAGGATCAAGAATTCCGCTGCCTTCATCCTCGTGTCCGACATCGCGGGGGAGAAGCATCGAGGTCTCGTTTGTCATGGCTTCAGAATTGGATTGAACCGAAGTACTGTACAGTAGTATGTTATGAAGTGTGTTTGGAAGCTGCCCGAGGCTCGAATTGTGGACCGTTGGATATGAAATGCAAAAACCCAATCAAAGGGTTTTACTTGAAAGCTCGAGCCAGCAAAGATCCACCCCAGAATACGTTCGACAAGCGCTGATCTCCCCTCTACTAGCTGTGCATGCGCAAATGCGCAAAACAATATATTTGTAGCTAGAACACATCACGAATGCCTACATAGGAGAAGTGAGACGGCCACCACAGCCGCTGGAGGTCCCGCGAGTTGTTTGTGGATTCAGGTATTGTCTGATTCGGGATGTATGGACCGCAACCAAAAAGATCCACTATCCGTCGCCTTGCAGCTGTTGGTATCACTGTTCTCTTTGCTTCTTTCGCTTTGATCTCTGGTTGTGCTATGCTTGGCTTTGGCATCGGCCAAGTTGGCAAGTTCATTTCAGAGATCTCTGACCCATTCGCCCCCGGAAAAGATTACTGTCATGACCCCTTGTCATTCTGAGTGAAGTAAAAGCAAGCCCTCGGCGCAGTAGCAAATAATAACTACTAATCATTGTGATCAATCAATCAATCAAACCTTTGTTGCAAGCTCACGTTGGCCTAATCATGGCGCAAATGGCTTCATCGGTGCACTGAACGGTGGGTGACCTTGAAGCCAAAATGGAGGACCTTGAAGCAAACCAGCCGTGCATGGGTGAGACGAAGCCCTCAGAGTGGGATCAAGATACGATTGATTCTGTCAAAGTCCCAGTTTGATACGGTACGACCAAGTGTGGGTTTCCTGTAGGCAGCCATCCAAAGTACTTTACTGTGCTTCTAGGAGATCACAATCACTGGGAATCTGCTGGTACTACGTCTATTTACCCTCCTGGTCATAGCCATGACTCATCCATCATTCCAGCCAGAATCAAGGGTGTCCAAAGGGTGTCCAAATCTCAACCAGTTTTGCATTGGCGCATCCAGTGGATTGCATTCTTGGAAGACTAGAGGTTTCCCTCTTGAGATGAGGGCTTATTGAGCACTGCCAAACCCCTGTGATTGTGGTTTGCAGAGGTATCAATAAGTGCTTTGTGGCTATTGCTATTCTACTACCTAAAGAATGCTGAAACGAAAACATTTCAACCTGGCTAGCTAGTAGTCTAGATAAAATGAATAGGCTCAAGACTAGCTAGCGCACCGTCGTACGGAAAAGCCGCCACGGCAATGCATATTTTTGTCGTTTCACGAGATATATTTTTGCCGTTTCATCTGCTTTGCGATCTGTTCTGCCGACATAGCAGGCATGGTGCACAGTGCAGAGACTGCTGTGGTACCTGTACAGGACAAGAGAATAATTAGTAGCAACACAGCAACAAAGACGCATGAGCTGTCAGTCTATTACAATAAACCATTAGGTAGGGGGAGAGAAACAATCGTTGAAAGCAAGCCAGTCGCTCGTCGCTCGAGACCAGTGTCAATTTGGATCAGAAAAGCAGAATCTATCAACTTAGCTGGATCAGTCACGGTGCAGTTGTGTGCCAAGGGCCAGAGAAGCCACAATGCCTCCATTCGATGTGATTGCAGAGCACTGGAATACACTGAAATTTGTTGTGATGGTTGGTGATGGCAGCACAAATCTTCTTCTCCCGGAGGAGGATTTCACATGCTTTCAATTGTCCGTGCCCATAAAGCACCTGTATCGCAGGAAGAAGAATACTGCCAAACTTCTCTTTAACTTTCGAGAAAAGCTTGCCCAGTACATCATTAAGAATGCTGGTTTCAAGCATCCCTATATCAATTACATTGTTAGGGACGAGACAGTTTGTCTCGGTATCTACGGAAATGACAACTATGATTTCATCTTTGTGGAAAACACTCAAGAATTTGACTCAGGCATCAAGAGCATTCTGGCCCATGAGGGTTTTGATCCAGAAAAGAACCAGATTGTCATTTGTTTCGAGAAAGACCTAAGAGACGAGCCCATGTCCACTGGTGAAGCAGAAGATGCCAGCAAACCGCCAGTGGCCTTGTTAGCGGAAGGGCCAAAAGAACCGGAACGCGGCAGTGACACCCCAGTTACCAAACACCTAATTTCAACGAAATCTCCATCAAAAGTGCCAGCGGGCGCCGACGAACCAGAGGTGCCTGATCAGTGGACTGCCACCACTCCGTCAGGCAAGTTTGCCAGTTTTCCAGCAGAGAACACCGGAACAGGCTCCTTGCCAGCCACTGCGAACAAGAGCAATGTGTTTTCCAAGGGGGGGTCCACTAATTCAATACCAGCAGATAGTGAGATCTCGGGAGGGACAGGAGAAAGGCACAGTATGGACTTGGTGACTGCGGATGGCGCTTGGACAAGTGCGGAAGCGGGTTGTGGTGGATATGAACTTTCTGGGTCCATTGGTGGATGGGATCAGTTCAAGGCAAACGAGAAGCTGGTCAAAGTCAAAGTACCCCCCTTTGACATGGGTTTGTACTCTACCAAGCTGGGAAAAAAGCACTTGGACAGTAGGCAAGTCGCCAAAGCGGAAAGAATGGCTCGTGAAATCGAGAGGGAGGCATTGACGCTGGATGCCGTCACCCGAATCTTTCGAATGAAGAGTTCCAAAGAGGACCCTTCGTTCCAACCAAAGGTGCAGACCACCCATATCCACAAGTTCAATAATTCGAGCGACACTACTGATCTGTATCGTGTAAGTGGAAATTCTGACAGAAGGAGAGTCAGGTTTGTAAGGTTTCATTCTAATGGTCTCATTTCGTGTTGCCTTACATGTAGCTGCTCCTTTCGGATGGGACAAAATTTATCCGTGGGTTCCTCAGCGAAAGCAACAACCACTTGGTGGAAAACGGCTCACTTCAACAGAATTCCATCATTTCATTGCAACAATTCGTGATGGACACGGATGATACGTCTGGCCAACAGTTTGTTGTTGTCTACAAGTTGGGCATCATTGAAAGCAATCAAAGACAGCATATTGGGGAAGCAATGAATATCAACGGTGTCCCTGCTGTAGGAGTCCCTCCTTCTCTACGACAACAAGCGGCATCATATGACAGGCAACCAAACACAGTAAAGTCAGGATCGGGCAACTCGCGCCGCCAGCTTGGCCCAACAGAAACCACAGAAAGGGAGCAACAGACGGAATTGGATCAAACAATAGACGAGATGAAGAACAATCTCAGCAATGCTGACATTCTAGTTGGCCAGATTCGACGGGTCCCACACATTCTGAGACGCATATTTGGACCAGACGATGAGCCCAGCTTGGAGCTCATATTAGAGCATCGGCAAGCCACGGAAAAGCTGGCCTTGGTCCTCGTTTTGGCAATGAAAATGCACTCGACAAATCGAGAGCTCCAGAGGCAAGCTTCATCGGTCGTTTGCCGTGCTAGTATCAAGGTCAGCACTTTCCATCAAGCATTTTTGAAGCAACATGGCGCAGAGGTGTTGGTGACTGCATTGAAAAGGTTGTTGGAACACTGCAAAGTGTGCCATGCAATAGTTTCCTTTTTCCGACTATTGGCTGCTATGAAGTATGAGACTGCCAGCAAAATTTGTGGGTTGCGTAGACTACATGGTCTTGATTTGGACTTTAGAACCCCGGACGAGAATGATTATGCGCTGCTCAACAGTGCACTCCTCAAAGCAGCAGGCACAATTCTCCAAGCCCTCAAAATGCACCCCAGGTCGGTGGAACTCCAAGAGGGGGGAATTGAATGCCTTGAGCGCACTTCCTATGATATTGACAAGCAAGGAGAAACCTTTTTTTGGGACTTGCCCTGTGATTCCATCAAGCTGGTCATCACGATATTGCGATCGCATAAGACGTTTGCCGACCATGCAAAGATCAACAGAGATGCGTGCAGTCTACTCTACAAAGTCCTACATCGCTCCACAGACACCATTGGCAGAACGGCTGCACTCCTCGACCGAACAGGCCAGGCAGAAGCTGTGGTTGGTTTGGCAGAATGCACCATCCGGAAGGATGTGTATGCGGAAGAATGGACTTGGATTGCTTTTATGTTGATGTGTATGGTGCTCTCTCGGTACCCTCACTTGGCACCACAGTACTTGCATGCTTTGATGTCCTTTTGGAAGGAGCAACCAAACAATCCTTTTTTGGCATCAACTGGCTGTGCCTTGCTTACGTGCATTGACTTGGGGGCAAGTGGCATGATGGACAATCCGCATGGAATCATTGATTTGGTGGTCGGCGGAGCCCAGCAGGCACGAAAACATGAGGACCCTGGTATGTTTGAGGATTGCACCTTTGTTTTAAAGAAGCTTGCCAAGAGCACTGCTTGCCTTAGTGCCATTGCAGCTGTCCCCAAGTTTGTTGCCTCAATTACCATTGCCCCTCCTGAAGACATTGGTTGTTCAGAAGAGGTCAGTGTACATGTCATTCACATCTTTTCATCATTGGTACGTGATGGTGGCATCAGTGCCATTATGCCTGCTGAGAGCCCTTATTGCTGTGTTCATGGCATCATCAATGCAATGAGTTCAACTCCCCATTACCTATTGGTCCAAAAGGCTGCGTTCCGTCTCCTTTCCATGGTGGACTTTACAAAGGCTGATGCCAAACTTGCTTTTACGAAAGCAGGGGGTCCTTCCACAGTTATCGCCTCCCTTTCGGAACACTTCTGGGATGAAAAGCTGTCAGAAAATGCTTGCAAGTTGATGAACATGTTAACCTGGTCTTCGAATGGACTCAATATGCAGCCACTTTTGGAGGGCCTGTTGGCGGCAGACAATGCTGCAGTTGCCATCTTGAGACCTGCTCGAAGATTCCTCAAAAACGGGATTATTTGGGATGAAGGAGGCACCTCTGTCTTTCGAATCCATGATTGGCAGTATGACAAGAAAATATGTGGAATGCCAATCACAGAGAGTGCCCAGCACGGATAGACGGGGAATGGGAGGGGCTTTCAAAGATGCAAGTAACACAGGAAGCCCAAATATTCACCTGGAGGGTAGGGACACCAGTCGACAGCGCTACAGTAGAGACTCGGCACAAAGGCAATGTACTGGAAGCTAGGACTGCTAATCTATCTATCTAAACACAATAAAACTAAACAGAAACACATTCTTCCTTACGTAAAACACAGAACAAAAACGGCACCCCCGTCACCTGTGGCAAAAAAACACTGTGCAAGATCTTGTTCCGACCAAAGGCACTACTCTTCTCCATCACTCTCTGATGAATCAGGACCGTCCCTGTCGTCCTTGCCAATCTTTTTGTTGAATGCATCTATGTTGGCGGTGGCCGTAGCGTGAAGCTTTTGCTTGGCCTGTTCGTACTGCAATACGGTGAGCTCGTACTGATTGTCGGCTTCTCGACTGATTTCGAGTCCATCCATGACCTTGTCGACCTCGCAGTCATCCACCTTATAGGATGTCTTCCACATGGGATCCCAGTACTGTCCCTTGACGAATTGTGTCTTTTCTCGATCGTCAATGACGACGCCCCATTCGGCCAAATCACAAATGTAGAGATTCTGAGATCCAATGTAACAGCAAATGTCATCCACAATAAAGTGCTTGGCTATTTTCGTTTGTCGTTTTTGTGTGTTGTCATTTGTTTTCGTAGCGTCAGGCAGACAATACATCATGATGGCACGTACAGATTGGATAGTGAGGAAAAAACGAAATTGAATGAATTGTGGACTGTTTTTTCGGTACCAATACTTACAATGCAATCCCAGGGTTTGTCCATCCTTGTAATGCCGTCCTCCCTCGGGCGATCGTAGAAAGCACACTCGAAGATTGTCTTGTACTTTGACTCGTAATTCGGAATCCGACGCGGAGGGATACATTTTCCTGATCGTCTTGATGATTTCGGCAGCCACATCGACACACGACCATCCATTGCCATAACACGCTTCGGTCGGACTGAGATTACCGGGAATGGATCCTGGATTGCTCAATACAATTTCAACATCAACCGCACGTTCCCAAATCGCCAAAGCCAATGCTTTCAAGTAGACATGTGGCCAGGAAAGACCCGGCAATGCCTGTTTGGTTCCCGGCAATGGAACGGGTCCCAAATCTTGAATGGCCATGCGAATGACTACTTTTGCCGCTTTGAGCATGGCTTCAATGCCATCATCCGATGGCCTTGCCTTTTTGAGCAAGGCACCATACCGTCCCATGGTAATACAGGGTACATAATCGGGATCTCTCATTCTATTGTCGACAGATCGTCTCATGATTTGTTTCCGTTCCTTGTAATACGGTGGAAACTCGGCGGCGTTGGTTTCGGGGAAGTCACTGACGGTGACACGGGCGCGACGAGGCACTTCCATATAATCACCGACATTCTTGTCGACAAAACGACCCCATGCCGTGGACTGTTTTTTGACCACATATCCCCATTGGGCATTGGCGAATCGATGGGCATCTCGTGCGACACCTCCTTCCATTTCGAGACTGAGGTCATTGACGGGTTTTTCTTGTAAATAGTGTGGATCCCAGAAATTGTGTCCTCCCGTCCAGAGGTATTTGCCATCAACGGCAATAATTTTGGCATGATTCCACGAGACATCCTTGCGCCACGATCCGACCCACAATTTGAGTTTGTGCTTGGCATCGGGCGGCAAATCTTTGGTCAATTCCTTAATGATGCGGTTGCAATTGACGGGCATTCCCACGATATTGCCAAACATCATGCGGACGGTAATGCGATTGTGGCCACTCATGAGTGACGTTTCAAAGGTTTGATTTTCACAAATTTCTCGCAGGGCATCTTTGAATTCGACCATGAATTTGCCATCGGGTGGCGCCAACGATAGAACATCACACCAGACTTGGGTTTTGCGCATGACCGAGAGGGCCGCTTTGGGAAACCAATCGTCATGGCCATCCACGGGGTCCGTGCGATCCATGCGCGTAAACGCATCGCGAGGAGTGAATTGAAGGTCACCGACAATTTTGCCCTTGGTCACATTCCACAGTTCGTGATGATGATGGTTGTGATGGCGTCGTAGGACATTGTAGACGGCCTCTCCGACGTACGACAAATCATCTGCCGATTTGTCTTCGCATTCTTCGCCCGAGGATTCGTCGTCTTTTTTTTTGGGCCAAAAGCGACCAAAGAGAGGCATGCTATGGTATGGTTGTTTACTTTACTTCTTGCTTACTTTGATGGATGGATGGATGGATGGAAGGAAGGAATGAACGACGAGCGAGTAGAAGGAATGGGAGATACCAACAAGATGCTCTTCCGATTGCGATGTACTAGCTAGACTAGGATGTTGAGTTGTGGCAAGACCTGAAAGAGCTCACTCGAAGCTTCTTCTTCGTCGTCATTCGTGTGCAATTTTGTTTTTCTTCTTCTGGCCGTTGGATCTTGGATCTTTCCGTTGGCGTTTGGGTTCCCGCAGCCTTTGAGCTGGCTTATTCGAAAAGATCCAGACCTTTAGAAAATAGGGTCCATAATTCTTTGAGCCTGGCTTTTAGAAAAGATCCGAGACGCTGAAACCTGAAATTGGCTTCGCAAAAGCCCGAAGCGGACATCAACGAAGGGCATTCCGCATTCCCGCCGACACCATAAACACCCCAAGACGAACTGGCACATCACCAAAAAATAGAGCCATCTCTCTCTCTCATATTAGTCTCTTCGATCCTTCTCCTCTAATACACAACACAACACAACACAATCCACCATGACAGGCACTACTCCTGCTGACAATAATAATGGCGACAACAACAACAACTCGTGCAGCGCTTTGGATCTGTCGTGGCTGAGCGAGTCCGTGATGGAAGCCGCGCTCGACAACAAGAACCTCAGTCTCAATGATGTGGGACATTTTCACGAGTCGCTACGAGCCGCTGAAGAATTTGGGTCCATGGAACACGATGTCTCGGAACGATTGCATCAAAAGATTGAACATCGCAAGGAAACTCTCTTGTCGAAAATGGTAGCACACGAGACAATCCGTGTCACCAAGAGTCTCGGTTTGTTTGGAATTCTCAAAACGCACAAAACGTGGAAACAGGTCCATTTCATGGCCGACATGCACGGACAGGGTGCCTACATTGCCATGGCTGAATTCCAGGGATTGGGCAATGACGAGATTGCCAAGGCGTTGGGGAGTTTTCACGAATATCTCCAAACCCATGAACCGGGTCAATTGCCCTTTACACCTCCAGAAGAAGCCAAGGAGTTTGATGAACGAGCCAGGGCGTTGGTCGAAACCAAAGTCAAGGAGAAACTGTGTCAGGCATACCGGCGACTCCACAAGAGTCTCATGGATGCCGAATTGGGAGGATACAAAAAGGAATTCCTCAATGAAACCGTGCTGCATACTCCCGAAGAACTGGTCATTATGTTTGGTGTCACGGGAAATGTAGAAGATGATGCGGAAGAAGAAAAGGAAATGCTAGCGGCGGATCAGTCGGATGATGAGGTGTAAGGTGATGCTTGATTTTCCATGTCTTCTTTTGCACTTGCCTTCTTGGTGGTCCTGAGTTGAATGAACCATTCAATCGAATCGGGGAATCGAATCCATTTTCACGTTGCTTCGTCGTTGGGTCGTTTGCAACATTTATTTGCATGCATTACATTCCGCTTTTAAACCTACACAACAAAAGGAAATGATACCGGTTACTTCATATTGTTCTATTTGCTAGCTAAATGTTCGGCTTGTCAGATGAGACGGTCTCATCAAAGAAGTCCAAAAATTGAAAGCTCAGCTTCTCTCGTTCCATCGAGTTCTACAGTAAGGAGACGTCTGTGATGAAGCCTATCTTCACAGCGTTGAGTAAAGCATATCGTCGCCCTCCCCTTCAACTTTTGTGTTCCACGTCGACTTCCATACCCACTGTTACTTCTACATACGGTACCTACAACGAAGCTGTTCACCTTCTCTTCTACGAAGCTGTTGCGGTTCCTTCGAGGGAGAGTCCAGTCGTTTCAAGACTTTTGTAACTCGGGCCTTGGTGCACCACTTGCCAACCAGTGTGAAACTTACTTGCTATTCCCTGAGCCCACGGTTGCTTCCACACTCACTGGTTGGTTTGTGCTGCAAGAAAGAGGTTTCAAAAATACCCGGAATGCAACAGGCGTAGTCTACCGTACCCGTTAGGTTTAGGTGAAAGCAGTTTTACAAGTAGAACCGAACGATTGACGTATTGGGTTCTCCTATCTTTATCGTATTACATCGTCGTAAGTGGTGTAACAACAAGTAGAACCATACGACTTTATTATTCTTGGAACGGTGCCACAATTTTTGATGCCCTCAGTAGGCCAAGAAGGAGCAGAGCAAAGCAAGGGAAAGAACCAATGCATTTAACCCCGCACCAACAACTCCAATGGATTCGCCCTCTGTATTATCAGAAGAGTTGCTTGGCTCACTGTCAGCAGTGTCTGCTCCGTTTCCTCCTGCATTGGCAGCGGTGGGCTCACCGTCGGCGGTGTCTGTTGCGTTTCCTCCTGCCTCAGCCATGTCTGGCTCACCGTCAGCAGTGTCTGCTCCATTTCCTCCTGCGTCAGCCATGCCTGGCTCACCGTCAGCAGTGTCTGTTTCGTTTCCTCCTGCCTCAGCCATGTCTGGCTCACTGTCAGCAGTGTCTGCTCCATTTCCTCCTGCGTCAGCCATGTCTGGCTCACCGTCAGCAGTGTCTGTTTCATTTCCTCCTGCGTCCACAGTGGCGGTAAGTGCAGCAGTCGTGGTAAGCGGAGCAGGTTCACTGCGAGATTGACGAGCCACAAAGTCCCACATGAGAGAAGTGATATCCACGGTTGTAGTGGCAGCTAGTGGGTTGTCTTCAACGTCATTGTTGACAATGGCATGTCCTGCCGTGTTGAGAATGACCAGCTCGGTATCAGCCGCGCAACCCCGACCTTTGCGATGTTCCATTGTGGCAGTCACACCGGGGAGATCCATTTCAGGCACGGCTACTGTGGTAGAATCAGCATCCTCTGGGCCCTGGCATCCATTCGCTTCCAAGTACTCCTCAAAGCATGCTTCAGCACTTGGAAAGATAAAGAACTCCCCAAACAACAAGTCATCAATGAATAATCCGTCATAAGCCACAATTTCATCCAACTGACCTCGAATGCTTAGTTGTGGAGTAGGGTTGTACGAGTCTGGAATAGGCGTAATGGCAGGGGCGGCAGTACAGCTCATGGCCGCCACAATATCCGAGTAGGTGCGAAGATATGCATGGGCCAAGATGCAGCCGTTGGAGTGACCCGAGAGATAAATCCTGGACACATCGACCATTTCTTCCATTACCACGGATTCAATTACCTTGTGGAGAAAGTCCAAGTCCACGCTGCCTGGAACCGACGTTTCCTCGGTTGAGCAACAACAAGGGTCAGCCACTGGGCCATCGGGAATGGGTGCAGGCGGCAGGTTCAAACCTCCAGGGACCTCCCAACAATTCATTTCGAGTTCAAAGGACGATAATTGAACCATGTTCCCCTTGTAGAGATTGGAATGGAGTAGATTGATTAATCGATACTAAGAGTTAGAAACAAAATAGCACCTCTAACAATCGAGACGATACAAAGTGATCACAGTAAAACATCCAAAGATACATGTACTTACCAATGGGTAAACGATGACAAAGCACTCCTCTTGTGCCTTTTGGATCCAACCATTTTCGTTGGCATTCACAACAGGACAGCTTTGACTGCCATGAAGAATCATGAGAAGAGGACTGGGCTTGCCCTCGGCACAGGGAGGCACATAGGTGTGGTAGCAACGCGTGTTGCCAGTCTCGTCTTCCTCATAACAGTTCTGGGGCATCTCCACTCCCAATTGGGTCGTCAAAACATCCGGGCCGTAGCCATAGCCATCGCACTCAGCTTGCTGGGCAACAACGCTCTGGAGTGAGATGAGGGCCACAAGCGCCAATCGAAGCATCATTGTAGTTATTATATAGTTTGTTATCGAGTCGGCAGTTTGACAGCTGTTTCGTTCTCAGCCTCTGCTTTTTGTGAGAAAAAGGCGTTGTGTATCGCTCTGTGCAGGATCTATTCAGGGTGGTACATGACTCAATGTCCTGTGCATTCTGCATCGATTTCATAAAATTTTAAAAGGGCATTGAGCTTATCGCTTTTAGATACCGGATCAGAGTAGAAAGCGTTATCCCTAATTCAATCCGTGCTCTCTGCCTGTCTCCTCGGCAGTGCAAGAGTAAAAATTTAAAAGAGACCAAATTATATTTTTACAAACTCTATGAGAGTACAATGTACGAGGCCGGTATGCATAGTAGTGACATGCATTGGGTCAGCCTCGCGCCACAGCTATGATACGGTACCTGTAGTTATGGTACCTGTACCTGTACATCCTAGCTAGTACCATAGAGGGTACGGTTGTATACCGGTGCCTGTAGCCTCTATAGCTCTCAAACTTCCCTTGGAGATTAGCTTGCAGATTTCGTCAGGGACACTGCCAATGAACTAAGCCCGCGCGAAACAAGAATGGCAAGGGCACAGCACGTACACATTTCTTCTAAGTTAGTTATCTGTCATCCTGGGGAAAGCGCCAAATCCACTATCTCTGCGTGCCCGTATGCATACATTTCAGCTCTCCTCCATTTCCCGCTATTCCATTGACAGCCATGCTCTCAGGTCCATTTCAGCACATGCAGGTACCTACCTTGACCTGCACGAGTGCAAGTATCTTCATCCATGGGCAGCCATCTTCACGGGCCTACTCCAACATCTCCAAGTGCCCTCCCCAATGCAGCACTTGCACATGTTTTAGCAGTCCATGGACAACCATTCTCTCTCCTACTAGAGCCCACATCAAAACATCCAGGTGCCCCCTCTTGGCAGCAGAGGGAAATCCCTGGTCGTGCAACCATTGAAGTGCTTCGTTGGGAAGGCCAACTCAAGTTTGAGCTTTTCGATCATTCGAATCGAATCGAATCGATTCGAATCCATGATTCGATTTCGGTTCCGAATCGAATTGGATCTTTTGATTGTTTGCGTGAACCCACCCCTCACAATGACCAACAGAGACTTGAGCATCCACACGGGCCACTCTTGCAGCAGCACCCACTGTCGAGTTACCTATTGTATCTACTTTTGGATTTGACAGACCATAGAATGTATGCCTACGACACTGACAGTGACGACAGCAGTGCCGTGGAGCACAGGAGGAGCTCTGCCTACAACAAAAACACTCCTGCCACTACTACTACTACAACACCTCGATACAAGAATGTCTGTACGACCGTGATGAGTGCGCTGACGGGCGGCGCCTACAAGACGGAATCGGAACGACGATTGGAAACCAAAGACAAAGAAAAGGAAGAACGAGACAAAGTGTCCCAGTACATTAGTTTTGATATCCCCTACGTGTGGGTCAAGAAATCCCTGGTGCTGCAAGAATCCCAAATCTTTCATGATGCCTATCCACATCCACTCTTTTGTCTGGCCGTACTGGGACGACTGCTGCGACTGCACAGCAAGCAACAGCTAGTATTGGAACCAAACGAAGTCACCGATTTGTTTTTTGGTGTGACCAAACTCTTTGGATCTTCCACTGTGGCGTCTCCCATGGATCAATATGTACGACGACTCGTGTACTGGTTACTATCCGAAATTACCGAAATCTCCCAACCCGAAGAACGCATGATGCTATTGTCCTGTCTGACCAAAGACATGACCGATCAATTTACTCCTGCCTTGAGATCGCGGGCACTGAGGTTATTGCCGTGTGTTCTCATTCGCAAGACAACGACAACACAATCCGACAACAACAACAAACAACAAGAAAGCAGCAACATTCTCAAACTGTCGCAAACCATTGCGGCTACCAAAACCATTGCCACTGTCTTGCCATGTAGTTTGGATCCAGAGTCCATGGCCGTATCGTCACGTGTCATGAGTGGGGCATTGGTGGCACTTTGTCACTTGCTACAACACGAACAATCTTCCAGTCTCATTTCCAGTGATGACGAAGAAGTTCTGCAGACACAATGTTATGTATTAGCCAAGGCTACCACCTCCAACAAGGTTCCACGAGATTTGCGCATGGTACAATTGCATGCCATGATAACTGCCACTGCCTTGGATCAGAAACAACAGAATCTCTATCAGGATGACGGTAGCAACATGGAAAATTACGCTCCTTCCCATCAAGCCATCAAGTTGATGGGTGATGTGATTCAAGGAGGTTCCCTCCATCGGGCATCGCCCTTGACTTGGGTTATGTTGCTGCGTCATACAGAACAAGTCATGCTGACGTCGTCGAAAGATGTCACCGCCAAGGAAAATGGCGATCACGAGGGGGCAACCAATTCCACCATTTGTGCGACCCATTATCACTTCTTTTTACAATCGTCTCTCATCAATCCATCCGAAATGGTCATCTTGGAAGCAGCACGGGTTGTCATCAATTTGGCGCCAAAGCATGTTCCTCTGGACATGATGGAGCATGCCGTCAAAGTGCTGAATCGCATCCAAAAGACATCCTCCAGGATCCAAAACAAAACGGCCGGGAGGACAGCCAACAAGTTGTTGGCAGAGGTGGGGAAAAAGTTGGTGCTCACTCTCTAACTTTAGAATAGAAAACTAGAACCGTCTTTTTGATACTGGCTAGTCTCTAGCTAGATAGACAATCAAAGAAAGCAAGAGTCCAGTGAACAACATGTAGTCTACTTAGGGAATGGTTACAATATCTGTTATCTAAGATACAAGTCCATACTTTCTTTCGCGGCATCATGAGAGGGATATACTTCGTGTACATCGTTCTAAGGGGCCATGTGGTACCTCATCAGTGAGAAGAGAAACTGCCACTTGGAGTACGGCAAGCTAGTGCACCTTGTCCGCCCGTTGCCGAATGTTGGCCATGAGCAAGTCCATTCCCTCCATCTTGATTGTTGGCGATGTCGCCGCTTCGTTTCTAAATTGACCCCTTTGTTGCATCATGTCACGTTGGTGGACGCTTTCGTCTAGAACCGTCTCTTCTTCGAAGTAAGATCCAACGTCATATGATCTTTCGTCTAGGACTGTCTCTTCTTCGAAGTAAGATACGTCGTACATTTGGTCGTCCAGAATGGTCATCTCCTCGTACTCTGATACAGCATCATCGTTAGCCACCGAATAGTACTCCAAAATGGTCTCGTCGTCGCTTGGCAGCAGCACAGGAGGGCTGGTTTGGGTCGAGCTTGTTGAAACTGGTGGGGGTGCTTGTTCCATTGGCACTGGGCAGGGCGAACGAGGCGCCGCCGAAGCTGTAGCAGCGGGCGATGGAGGGAACGCCGCAAGAAGAGCTGCGCATGCCTCGGCTGAAGTCAATCCCGGTGGCACCGAAACAACTTGAAAAGAACGAGGCGCAGCGGCGGAAGTGCTCGCTCCAACCGGTTGTGTCTGGTGCGCCAAAGTGGCTGCAGCCTGGGACTGTTGTTTATTTGCAGCTGAAGGTGCTTCTTGGACCAGTGCTGACTTCGTGGAGGGCTTCTGCTTTCCCTTTCCCTTTCGGAACATGGACCATCGCTTCTTGGATCGTGGCACTGCCGCTTCAACCTTTGGAACTTCTGCATCCGTTTGAGCAGCATCTTCTTGCACGGTAGCTAGCGCAGTGTTCATTTCACGTGTTGACAAAGGCTTGAGCTTTCCACTGTTCTTGTTCTTTCCAAACTTTTTCATCAGTCTTCCGCCCCATCCCTGCGGTTGCTTGTTCAGAGGCTCCGTAAAGGTAACCGTAGTCTTCTCAACGACGTTCTTGCCGTTGACGTTCTTGACAGTGGTCTTGGTTACATACCTGGTGATCATCCCGGGAGGAGCGGACATGTCACTGGGTGCTTGGGATTTCAATGAAGCGTCCGAGTCGGATGGAACAATCTTTGGCGGACTACCGTTGATCTCAGTGGGTGGGGAACAGTGGGAAGGAGGCAACAATGGCAGCGGCTTCTGGAGTGGGACACTGGATGGAGGCATGTTCTCACTGGCAAAAGCAGGTTTTGTTTTATTGTTTCTTCCCAACATGGGAGGCATTGGCGGAGGGGAGCCATTGATCACCTGAACCTGGCTAGGAGATTGTTCTCCATGGCGTGCCTTTTGCAAGACCTGTGGGGTCGCGAAGGGCCGCGATGCATCAACTGTTGATCGATTCATGATGTTTGTTTGTATGTTTGTTTGTCTTGTGAGTTTTTGTGGGGATCAGGTGAAAGTGTTGATGTCTCGATGTCTCGATTGTTTGTCCACGAGCTTGAAAGGACATGCAGAAGGTATCTTGGGTGCTCTTGGCACTGTGTTGCCAAGATGTTGATCTTGTGCGCCCTAATTCTTTCACCTCACTTTCTCATTTTGAAGTTCCAGTCAAGTTTCAAGCAAATTTACGCGACTAAACGCTCTGTTGGCTTCTAGCTAGATACTAGTAGTTGGCTCGTGTTGTGCCTCTGGTTTCTACAGTACTTTCCCACGGGCAAGAGGGTACAGGTACCTTTTCGGCATCAACCGCTGTCTGTCTGTTGGTTGTAAAATCTTGCCATAGCCTGCCTCCAACCTTGACGATTCTGAATCCGATGGGGTGGATATTCTAGCAGCCAGCCAGTGTTCCAAATCCAATGCGACAAGCTTCATGTTAGAGCTATTGATACCTGTTCGCCACGAGAAGAAGACATCATCTCAAAGACAGACAGCACAATGCTTTTTTGGACATCATCCACAGTACTTCACCCCCCGGCAGCACCAGCTGCATTCCTTCAACTGCCTCTTGCTACTCGTTACGAGCACACACGCCTCCATTGATACGGTATGACTGCATTTAGCTTTTGCTTTTAACAAGCTCTTCCCACTCAGAGTGTACGTGGCTATCATAGACATTTTGCAACTTCCTCTCAATGTCAGGCTCAACAGCTTGCTCCCACGGTCGAGAAATGAGTGGCAGTCGCTCGTGTCTCAAGACCGCACAGCAACAATATCGGCGGGGTTGCCTTGACTTGTTCCAAGGCTTATCCCATACAAAGTAGTCTAAGAGTATAAATAATGACCAGCCTGCTAGCTAGAATTGGATCAATGATCCCAAAGATGGACGGAGTTTAAGACACCATCTTGGAAAGATCATCGTCGTCAAGTTGAAACATGTTCTTCTGTTCCCTTGCAGCATCTGTGCGCCTCCATGAGTACATACTGACCGTCTCACTGCAGGTTTTCCAAAGGTTCATGCACCTGCCATCCTGCCATAGACCTCAGGTAGCTGGTAAAGACTATTGGGGAGCACGCGATGGCGAAATAGAGAGCATGACATCAGCATTCCAAAGAAACCCGTATCTAACATCCAGGTTCCGCACCAGCATGGAGGTAGCCAATAGTATTTCTCTCCGCATCTATTGGCATACTGGCATGGCTAGTTAACATTTTGCTACAACCAAAGTTACTTTATTAGTCAACTAGTCATTATCGTATTCCTTCAATTTTGAATTCAATTTCGGAGAGCGATACTGCAGCATCGTTTTCTTCGTCGTAGTCTGCCCAATCGCCTTCGCTAAGATCCACATCTTCTGTAAATGCCTTACCACCTTGACTCGTCACGACAAATTCATCTCCCATGGCATGAAAAGCGTAAGGCTCTAACCCGCGACATTCCATGGCCAAAATGGGGACCCAATTCCCGCTATCATCCTCAGTCAAATCCCTTGGTACGTCTTTGGATTTCTTCTTCTTGAGGGCAGTTTTGACGGCTTTCTCATCCAAGCATTCCAACATGCAAGCCTTTTTGTTGCCCTCCCATTTGATGGATAAATGATGCGGGGACTGCCGTGCGCCTTCTTCTTGTTCCACAGTCTCGGAGGGATTAAAGACAACCTTATCTCTGGTTTCAAAGTCGGATAATGGATTTCGAACCGAGATGCATAGATTTTGATCCTTTCTGAGGGCGATGGAACCAATGCCCTCGAATTCTGCCTTCATATATAACACAAATAGAACCATTGTGGAGGCTGGATATTGCTTGAAGGAAATGAATATAGTAGGGATGGTGAAGTGAACTCTCTCAAAACCTTTTATGTTGCGGTGTGGTGCCATGGCCAGGAGTCGAAAACTTGTGGTGGCTGGAAGATCCAATGATAAGCCGGAAAAGCTGTACATGCATGGTCAGTCGGAGTTGAAGGCCAGAACCGCGGTCTTCGGAACAAATTCAGTCAGTCATTGGGACCAAAGCGCATTCTCTCCCAAAGCAACTGGTACCACCGGTAGCTGGCCAAGAGCCACAAAAGTTGCCGTACTATGGCGTTGGCGTTGAAGGAGCGACGGGTCCTTCAAGAAAGAACATGTTCTTGTGGCGTCTTTTCGAGCTTAGGGTAAACCTATGCTGATGGCTCTGTAAATGCTGCCATCGGTCATGGGTTGCCCCCACAGTCGTACTTCGGTGGCTAGCTAGACAGCTGGATGGAGGAGCTGGTTGGAGTTGTTTGCTTCAACGGCTAGCTAGAATCCCTTGGAGAACAAGTAGGTCATTGCCGACCATTTGGGAGTATCTGGTGGGATCAACAACGCTGCGGGCAATGCCTGCACAGCACGTGGTTGCTTCAAGGATGCGCCAATGCCATGATCATCTGGAGCTAGCTGCCTGCTGGTAGGCATCAGGCGCGAACATCGGGCAGCCTGAAGAGATCGCGAGGGCTCAACATATTGGATCTTTGGCTGCCTAGAGCTAGAATCCCTACCACCCAAATATGGCTCCTACCCTGACCACCAGCTCCTAGGTTGCTAGAAACAAAAGATTTCAGGATCTGTAGCAATGAAGTTTAATAATTAAATAAAGGTTTTAGAGCTGCACTGTATACTGTACATGCTAAATGAATAGTAGTGGCTGGAAACTGAAAGATGCAAAAGTGTAGGAGGTGTAGAAGAGGGAGAAGAATGGAGGCTCCCGGGGTCTACGAGAAAGATACAATCCAAGTCTCGCGCACCCGAGGAGTCGAAATAAATTCATTTTGTTCAGTGCAGCTTGATTGCTGCGAAGGTTGCGTGAATGTGTGATATAGTCAAATGATGTATCTGTAGTGTAGATTGGTTTGTCGTGTAGTACGCTCATACTTCCATTCGTGTGGTCACAGTGACAGGCGATGCCTTGTAGGAAGAGCGTCGTGGTTGCGATGCTCGTTGGGCACCGGCACATCCCCCGGCAACTACCTTGGTGGGTGGTGTTTGCATGTTTTGTGCGACGGCATGGCAGAGTCTTGCCTGAACATGTGGCATTTCCACAGAGTACATGTTGATGTGAGCCGCTTGTGCGAGGATGGTTTGAATGTACCCAATGGCGGTGCGATCCAAGCACTGGAGACTTTCCAGTGCATTGATAAAGGAGCAAAAGGCCACAGTGGAAGCGGGGATACTGATCAAACTGGCATCGGCCACGGCCAATTCAGACTGGAATTTGCACATTTCGTAAATGGTCATCTTGACGTCTTCTCCATTCACGACGATGACTGCCGGTGGAAGTAGTTTGAGGAATTCTCGGACAAAGGAGAGGGCCGTGGGAGGATTGACCTGCCAAGTCAATGCCTGCAATATCGTTCGTTCCATGTCTTCGATTTCGTCCTCGGTGTGAGCTCCTCGACTGAGCTGGGATACCAATTCGGCACTCATGACTTCAGGCTCGTGGATTTTCACGGCAGTGTAGAGGGATGTCATGGCCACCAGTTGGAATTGACTTCGGTCGCGGGCGACTTGTTGGCCCGGTCCAGTGGCCATGAAGCGATCCATAATCGAAATGGCAATCGCAACGGTTTCGCGGTTGAAGTTGCAAAAGTCAACAACCTGGTAGTTGAGAAAAAATGAGACAAAAGATAAGATAAGGTTAGACAAGACTGTTGTTGGTCAAGGAAAGATCAGCAGACTGACTGACCTACTCAAATCCACAGATAGAGCAGAATGAGACTTACTTTGTAGCACCACTGGATCATCTTTTCGCGGCATGCAATTGTTACGGGCTTTCCCGCGAGGGGACCGATTTGAGAAGCTTCATCTTGCTGCTGTTGGTACAGGTAGTCTTGGCAGATGTAGCCTCTTTGTTCCTGACGCCTCATGGCTTCGATAGTTGCGACGATGGCCTCCATGGTTGATGATTTTAGAAGAGATGAAAGAGGGTTGATAGAAGGGGTATCCTTTGAGGTTGGCTGGAAAGATCTTCGTTTCAAGAAACTTGGGAAAGAATGTTGTGAGAGAGTTTGAAGGGTGGCTGAGAAAGAGCTGAATGCCTGGTTTGGTCATTCAAAAAGCCCGCTCACTGTTTGCTTCCTCAATAACAAATAATGCTACTCCGAAAGGCCTACCAGAAGCTGGCATCTGGCATCACCCAGATGGTAAATAACTTGCAAAGCGGTCACAATCATGACCTCATGGGGAAGATAATATAATTCTGCCGGTCATGCTAATGGTGCCAGTGCAATCGTACTAACCAACGGCAACGTGAAGTTCGCGGGTTGACAATTGGAAAGGGGTGTCAGCTGTTCTCAATCAAGTCGCCTAACAATGTCTTGCCTTTCAGATTCTGCTGAGAACTTCAACTGCGTCCAGTGAGAACCCTGTCAATTATCTTTTACTAGTGATAAGATTCTGATCCCAAAAACGTAAAGAGCAACTCTATAGAGCAGCTTAAAAAAGAGCACAGTGGACTTTTGAAGCCAAAACTCCCAAAAAAACACACAGATACCGGTATCAATAGAGCAAAGAGACACTCGAAGAGACGCTGTAGATAATTCGCGACCTTTCTCATGGATCTAGGGATTCTCAAGAGCTCTTGGATGCCAATATTTCTGTTCCCTGTCAGCCAAGAAACAAAACCTGGGAATTCGTGTAGACCTACCTTACGAATCCATCAGATTGGCTGGGCCAGCCAGCTACCGGTATCATAGTCAGCTATAGTCTGAACCGGAATAACCTGGGAAAATCGTTTATACCACTCGGCTTCTTACTTTTAGGAAAGTGCTGCTGGGCTACCGGTATGACCATGCCAAACAAACTCTGGGAAAATAGGTTGGTTAGGAATGGCCTTGCTGCCTTTTACCTTGCCTCCTACTCCTGCAACACTCTCAGTTGCCTTCAAGCTAGCTATTGCCTTCAGCAAGCCATTTTCAACCCGAGTCAAGCCCCAGCCGAGATGAGGCAGCCAGGGGAGCTCTGTGGGCTGTTGGACCATGCCACCTCAAAGCCCAAGTCCAGCCTCAGCTGAGATGAGGCAACGAAGGGCTGTTGGACTTCGGCGCAATCATGTTGGGGGCTTAGGATGCACGTTTCTCTCAGCGACAGTCGTCAGTCCGAGCATAACCAAATTTCGGGGTATTTCTGCGTGCTGACAACGGCCGGGCAATAGCAGGGGCCGTTGCGAGTAGGATTCCTTCAGTCGGCAGAGTGCATTCTGAAATTACTGACCTGGCACAAAAACTCTGACGTCTGCTGCCGCCCTTATTAAAGAACACTTAGTGAAGTTCAGTCGAAAGAACGCCCTGATTCTTGATTTTAAAGAAGCAAATTCCGTATGCGATTCTAATTCCGTACATGTAGGACGGTACCGGTACCTATCGCTGTGCGGTATCAGCTGCAGTACCAGGTATCTACAATACTATCTGTAGTTGTTTCGATTCTTTTCTTGCTTCTTGGCCTATCTTGGATGGGACGGTGGCAAGACAGCCATCTGGAGCCACCGGAGATCATGATCTGAGAGATTCACCTGAAGCTTCTACAGCAAAACTATTGGTATAATCGCTCTACCAATGGGTTGGAGGTTGGAGGGAGTGGGAGTGCGAGAATGGTACCGGTACAGCTAGCTGACTACTACCAAGGAGGAGTGGTCAGATGCAGATGATTCGGAGTTTAGTTTGTTTCATATCTGTCCAGCAGTGCTCGGTTTGGTGGTCAGTCTTCTACAGCGAGGGAGCCGAAAGCTGCTTCTTTAGAATGAGCGGAGAGAAGCATGGGTGCGGCACATCCAAAGGGCGTTCGTTTGTGTTACTGAAATGAACCAAAAACAGTTCTTTTGAATGTGGGAGCAGCGCGGCTTTCTCGGCCAGGCTATTTCTCTTGCCAAAAGATGCGGTGCACCGCTTGCATATTTCTTCTCATCCCAAGCTCCGACCAAGATTCTTGTACCAGTCCCGTCCTTAGTCTTCACTGACAAGTTTTTGATCAGTGGGAAGGACCCAGCGGGCCCCTATTGGACAGAAATGCCAGAAGGGCCGCTGCGTGCACACACACAGCAGCTAGGCTTTTGGTTCACTCACTGGATATTTTGATTTCCATGGGTGTCTTCGCCGGTCCTTGTGCTTACCGGTACCTGGTATGAGCACTCCACAAATGATAATGAAACAAAGCGAATTGTGAAGGTAACCCAATATGAATGAATGCGGCGTCAAAGAGTAAGTAAACAAGCAACAAACCACACAGACTCAGTCTGCTCTTTCCTCTTTGTTCCAATGGTTGCAGTTGCGGTTCTAACAACACAGTCAGATACAAACTCGGTATCAGCACCCAGGCAATGGTAAGTCAAGGACACAGACAACGGAGTTGATTCATCTAGCTCTGATTTGTCAAAACTAAACCAACCCAAACCTACTTGATGTGCTTCCCGCACCTGATCGCTTGTTGGGTTAGCGGATCCAGATCGATTGAGTCGAGTCGAGTCCATTCATGAATAATGCGTCAGTGCGATCTTTCGGATGGATCTTTTGGGTGACACCGTTCTGAAAACACCATCAAGGATCAAGGATGCATGCAGTGGCCTTCAACCAGCAAGAAAACTGCACTGCAGCTATCAGCTAGCGTAACGAAGCAAAGAACACTTCAAGTCAATTGCAATAGAGTGGGTACAAAGAAGCAAAGGGTTTGTAACAGACACGAACGCCACACCATGTCATTTCTGCAAAGGTTTGCGGCAGGCACCAAGAGTCATGTTCGATCATTGGGTGTTTGGCAAGTTGCCGGAAGACCACGAGTAGTCGTCTCATCCTCTCGCGGTTTTGCATCAGCAAGGGAAAAACTACAAGCCGTCATGGAGGAGTACCGGAAGAAAAAGTGAGCCGAATGGAATTGCCATGTGGAACATTATGTTTTTCGGGTAGGCCGTGTCCTGACGTTCCTTTTTCTTTTTTAAAAATTCTCTGCTCACAGTTACCCACAAGAACTGCCGTCTAGGTTTGCAAAAGAAGTGACTGCAGCAGCGGATACGGATGGTGACGGTTTTATTAGCGTGGCAGAAATTGAACAGTTGCTGGAGAATATTGGGGCCAAAAATGTGCTTACACACGAGGAAATCGCCGAGTTGATGGATGAAGTGGGTTCCTTGGAAGTTCCCAAAGGAGTACCAGTTGAAGATGCTGTGGCTTTACTCAAACAAGTTGCGAAACCTGGAACTGCCTAAACTTTTGAAATGAAAGGATGTATCAGAGTGGGTCATTTTTTAAAATCCACTACCAAAAACCGCGGCCGAGAATTCAACCTACAGTACTGCAGTGTTTGGAATCCAATTCACTACAAACACCAAGTTTTACAACACTGTACATTAATGAATAGCCAAGTAGTCCTTGCTTGCAAGCTCGGTGCGTAGCTGGGCCTTTAGCCTCCTTCAACATGTGGCCTACCCGTTGTTGCTTACCGAGGTTCGGGGCTTTGGCTACCTTGCCCCAAGGTACTGGTAGCTAAGCATATACCGTGAAGTGAGAGCGAGAGAAGTATCGTTTACCTTTTGCGTCACTTGTTTTTATCAAATCAGATCTAGAATGCACTGTATCCGTAGCTCGCGGAGACATCAACACCAGTGCCCTCAAACCTTCGAAGTCTAAACAAGCCTCACTCCACCAAAACTATCTAATTTTGCAACTGAGAAATCTCCCACAGCTTGGTCCCAAAGTTGACCGTAAGGATAACCGCCAAGATGGCCCCAAGAGCCATCGGTCCGATGGGATCGTCCCAGCGTCCTGGGATACGGCTTCGAATCTGTGCTGTACGCCACAAATAGACGTGGAGGGCATAGACGCAGAATCCCAACGAGACGACCAACAAGATGAGGGCGTATACTTCGCCCCATGTCTCTCCCGAGTCCTCGCTAAATGCCAGAATGCCGGAAGCAATGGTACTCAAAATGACACCATGATGCAGCCAATGCAAGTAGGTACGCTCATTGGCCAAGAACACCTTGGGTTCGATCTTTTGGATGGAGGTAGGAGCCACAATTGCCATGGCATAGTTGTTGCTTCGGGAACAAAAGGGGAACATCCAGGAGCAGCAGTAGTCGTCGTCCTCTCCTAAAAAGTCGTCCTCCATGATGGGCTCATTGAAGAGTCCAGGCCCGTCACCCTTCATGGCCTTGTCGCCGATCAAGCCCTTGCTGGCCATCTTGGAAGCTGCAGTTCGTCCCACCGCAGTGGCACTTCGGTTGTGGGAAACATCTCCAAATGGCAACAAATGGCTGTATACTTCATTGGCACCAGAACCTACACCCGCAACCGAATCCGCCAAGATGCGGCTTCCCCCACTGGCATTGATGGAATCACGAAGAGACACATCATCGACCCAGTAGGGCACAGATCGGACATCGTCAGGGAGCAAAACGGAGCAACCGTGGACATACTTGGAGTATTTGTGGCATTCGTACAGCAGTCCACTGTTTTGCAATTCTGTGACCCACTGTGGAGGAGTCATATTGCCTCCCGTCAGCTGCAGTTTGATCTCCAAGACGGCGTGAGGGAATCGAGTAATCTCATTTGGCTCCAGAACCCAACTGGGATCGCGATGCCAGACCTTCATGTCATGGAGATCGTACCCACGCTCTGAGATCATGCACAAGTTGGTATCGAGGGAGACACGGACAGTGGCATCAAAGGGGATCTGGAAGGCAGTTCGCATACACTGCGTTCGGCAAGTGGGCACCAACTGCTTGCTGACACAAACTTGGGTTATCTCACGGACGAGTTGTTCCCATTCATCAGCCTCTTTTTGGCTCTTTCCTTTCGCCAGCATTGCCTTGCGCTTTTCTTCAATAGGATAGGTGTTGGTCAACACTTGGTGGACTTCACTCTCGTCAATCTGGGCAGAAGGAAAAAGACATTTTAGTGAGTGAGTGGGTAAGTCAGCCAACCAACCAATACAAACACCACTTCTGACTCGACTCGTCATCATCGAAACACGCACCATGAATCGCTCCTTGACGGAAACCTCACCAGTCCATTTTTCATTGTGCGTTTTTCGTTCCACAAAGACCAACTTGGGATCACCCACTCCATACCATCGAAGACGCAAGGCAATGGCCCCTGGAGTCTTGTCCAGCCGTCCATGGTACAGTTCCAGAGAATCGTTATCCAAGTAGACACTGTTGGTGAATTGCGAATCCGTTTCTCCCGTGGACGTCTTTTGCAAAAAGAGAGGCAAATGCTTCAAGACGGCATACTTGACTCGCGAGACATCTTCTGTCTTGACCCAGTACTTGGTAGTGGATCGAAGGAAGGATTGATTGGCTTCATCGCCTGGTTCCTTGGCCAGATCATCTTGTCGCAGACTCGAGTAAATGTGGGATAGGCGGACCACTAAATCGGAATAATCTCCACGGACCCATGCCTGCGCATGCATCCGGTTGACGTAAAAGTTCTTGCAAGGGTTGTTGGGTAAATGCTTGTCGTGTTTCTTGAGGATTTTGTGGAATCCCATAAAGTTGATATTGACGAATTTTTCCAATCGCAGGAAATCTTCGGCAATATCTTCCGCCTGATCCAGCAACCGTTCCCTGCTGTCCTTGGCCAAGGGATCTCCATTGGATTTGGCAATGTCGGTGGAGTCACGGATATTGCCTTCGGTAGCACGAATTTTGTCGCGTAGTGCCGTCACCTTTTTGAGGGTGAAACTCTCCACTTTGGCCATTTCGCCATCGAGGGCCTTCAAAAAGGTTTCTTCTGTTTCACCCTTGACATCGGCAGCCAGTCCTTGGGCGTTGGTTTGAGGAGGCGTGGTCAACGAAATTTGACGGCTGGTCTGATCCGCGCTTTCGAGATACCGATACAAAAGCAATGCAAAATGAGGGTAAATGCCAATGAAAATGCACACAGTACATTACACTACCAACTAATGCACTCACGACGAAGGAACCTGCTTCGAAAGGACTCGGATAATCTCATCTAGTTTGTCATAATCAAGGTAGGGTTCTGGACCGTATTCGGGTGCCACATTGGCCTTCAAATGCTCTCCGTACTTCATGGTCGGTTTCCTTCCGGCAAACTATTGCAGTGGTTTGAAAGACTTGAAAAAGTTGAGTATATGGCGTCGCAGGTTACTGGCCTGGCTCGACTCCAGACGATTCTCAAGTAAGTGGTGATGCAATACTCCCAACGCAAATGCGACAAAGGTGTTCCGTTCCTCCTTGTTTGTTCTATTATGATAGCTATTGTACAAGTCTAGCTAGCTAGCCGCCAAGTAAAAGGTTCCCCAACAACAAAGAGTTTGGCTGCAGTTTCACTCTGGCTCCGGCTTGTTTTTTCGTTGCGAGAAACAAGGCTTTTGGTTGGCCCCAGTGGATCTTCCGAGAAAGATATGGATTCTTCGGACTCCGATACTACGGATTCGCGAAGAACTGTCTTTTCCCCAGTGCTGAAGCGGATTTCCCACAACCAGAAGGAGATTTTCCTTCCCGGTACATAAGTTGTGTAGGCTTCTACGCGAGCCGGAATCCGAACTCGATTGACGAAACGGTTCAAACCTTTCAGGCCTACCACTATCCTTAAAAGGAGAACGTCTCTTAAGTGGAAATCTGCTTCAGGACCTCCGAAATCCGCTTCGGGACCTCTGAAATTGGCTTCCGTGGGTGGAAAATCGGCTTCCGACCAAGGGAAAGGACAATTCAATCCGAATCGAATCCGTAGTAACGTGGCATCACAGATGATGACACCATAATTGATTTTTTGGGGCCATTGTAACGGGAATCTCGGATGAATCTTTGACAAAAAGAGATTTGGCCTCACTTTTTTACTCGAAACGCACTCACTTCGGATTAGACATAAGCAAAAGTCACCCCGCTCGTCCGTTGGGGTATTTGGTACCGTTCCATTTACGTGATGTAAACAGAACGGATCTATTTACTCACGTAGTCATGGCGGACAGTAAACGGAACCGTTCCATAGAATGTAATCGGATCAGTTCTGTTAACTTCTCGAACCTTCTCGGAACGTAATCGGAACCGTTCGAATACTGTCCGCCTTAAACTGTCATTGGTGTGGTATGGTTGCTGCCTTTAAAGAGGTTCTGGTCTTTGAACACAATGTGCCCTTTCATTTCATTCCTAAAGTAGTCAGCTCGTGAGATTTCAGACAAGTGCACCATGTTTCCAACACCAACTAATCCACGTATCCAGCCTTCTACAGAAGAAGTCAGTTGGTTGGTACCTTCCATTAGCTTGAGGATGTGGAGGGGAATCCTCCAATTGACCTTTGCTGCATGTTCTGCTTTGATGGAGATTATGCAAAACTGCAGCTAAAATGGAAACAACAAAGATCATACTTCCTCCTTCTATCTATGAACATGATCCTGACAAGAAAGATGTTACTCTAGACTTGATCATCGACAAAGCTATGAAACATTCTGACACAACTCTTATCAAAGGCAAGATTGACAAAACTGTTGGCAATGAGATTCACTACTATTTACTTTGTGAATGCAAGCGAAAATACTACAGTCAACGGGGCGCCACAACATCGGCAAAAGAGAACCAAAAGGAAAACTTTAGACAGGATAGAATAGTCGACAAGGGGAAAGGTAGTCGAGGTCCAGATGGGAGGAGCTTTCCCCGCAGAACCGAGACATCTAAGCCCCACAAAAAATGCCCTGTTGAATTCAAATTGAGGTTGATCCCTGGCCAGTACTGGTACTTCAAGAGAACTCGTAAGGCACTGGTATTCACAACCATTCTCGAACTCCATTTGTTGACAAACATAGAAGAATGAAAACCTACTCGCAGGAAGAATTGAATCTGGCCCAAACGTATAGCCAAATCTGTCCTGCCGGTGCCGCGATGGCTTTGACTAGCAAGGCAACTGGCACCCTAGCACCTTCCAAAGATCAGCTCCGTTACAACAAGTCTCCCACTTCTAACAAACCTGTATCCAATCCCAGGCTCTTATCGAGTACTCAGGGAGCAAGTATCTTTGAAGAAGATGAGATTCGTTGCATTGTATCACGAGGTCACTGAGACAAGTTTGCTAACCATTTCAAAGGCCAGCATGAATAGGAGGGCTCAACAGATGAACAATGAGGGTGTCTTTGATGAGGACCTGGAACAAGCTGAAGATATACAGCTCACCTATGAGGACTCCAGTTCCACTGTCCAGCAGCTGAGACTTAAGTCAGCTGCAGAGAAGGTTGGTATTGCAGAGGCACTATTGGCCATGAAGCAAGATATGCAAGTGGGCAAAAAGGTGTTCCTTGCTTGTGCCTGGTGCACTGAAGAAGAGAGAAAACTGTTTCAGAAGTATCCAGAAGTTCTTATGGTTGATGTAACGTTTCAAACAAACAATCAGGGAAGGCCTCTGTTTACAAGTTGCTCACCAGGCAGGGACATGTTCTTCTTCACACCATTAAGGGCCTACTTACCTTCCCAATGTAGGTGGGTCTTCAGTTGGCTGTTTGGAAGTGCCATACCATTGTTACTTGGCATGTACTCTCTTGCAAGAACTCAGCTGGTGCTCAGTGACGGTGACCCAAACATCTATCTATCGTTTGAAGAACACCAGCCCAAAGCTTACCCAAATGCCATTCATGGATTGTGCATTTACCATCTTGTGACCAAACCACTGGCTGAAGCTGGAAGTAAATTGGTAGGGAAGGATGATCCCTTTGTATTGAATCAAATCGAGACTTTCAAAAGATGGGTCTTTACCTGGATGTGTCTTGGAGGAATTGAGACTGATGAGGAATTTGAAATCTCACATGGATTGTTGGTCCAGTGGCTGAAGGCATTTCGCAATGATGATGCGACCGAAAGAGCCTCTGAGGACCTCAAGCACAACTCTTACATTTGGAGCTCGAGCTGATCCGAATCATGAACCACAAGAGCCGTTGGTACTTTCCAAATAGGAAACATAAACTCCACTTGCAACAAAAGGCCACCTTAGCATTGGAGGGAGGGGTTCACCAGACGATGAAGCACGGATGCTCCAAGAAAGTTCAACCCAACATGAGCCTTCTGGAATCTGTCAAAACACAAACACAGCAGGTTGACATTAGACTGACAAACCTGAAAAGAGCAGTCCAACAAGACATAAAAAGGAGACCGTTGTGGACCAGCACAAATACTGGTGCACATCTTACCAGAATGGGTGAAAGCATTGGCAAGCAACTGTGCGAACAAAGTCAAAGCTATGCCTCAAAGCTAATTTCTTCATGGTGTTCAAAGGCGGCCTTCTCAGTACCATAGAGCTCATAGTCAATGAGTTGTTCGGGAACCACAATGAGGAAGACAGAGTTCTGGAGTTTAAAGTTCTTCAGCAGTTGACTCTGATCCCTGCCTTCTTGAACCTTTTGCTTCTTCCTGTCACTCCGCTCCCCAGGAGATAAATCCAACTCAGGTCTCCCACCAAGAGATGCCATGGTGCAAGTGACTGGAGCAGAAGCAAACCGCAAACAACAGTGGAACCAAGAGTAGTAGTAGTAGCAGTAACAGTAGTAGAAACCACAACAACAGCAGCAACAACAAACAAGCAGAGGGATCAAGCAATGGTTGGGTGAGGTGAAAGAGACTTGGTGGAGTGTGGTGGATGACTTTTGTAATGGATGCTGTTGCTGCTGCTGCGGCGCAGAGTAATGGAACTGTTCCGACTACTCCACGGTATATCACGGGACGTAAACGGAACTGATCCAGTTACTCTATGTAAACAGAACTGATCCGAAAATCCCACGGTAACGATCGAAACGTAAACGGAACTGTTCCAACTACTCCACGTAGCGAAAACAGAACTGATCCAGTTACTCGATGTAAACAGAACTGATCGAACACTCCACGATGACTATCGAAACGTAAATGGAACTGTTCCAACTACTCCACGGTATATCACGTAGCGTAAACGGAACTGATCCAGTTACTCAACGTAAATAGAACTGTTCGAAATACTCTACGATGAGAGGATCGAAGCGTATTTGGAACTGTTACATTTACTGAGAGTAAACGGATCGATTCCATCTACCTTGCGCCTGCCTGAGAGAGCAGGGTGAGTTTTGCTTATGACTAATCTAAGCTTATTTGAGTCGAGTCTCTGCTTCAGACGCTCTCACCCCCCTTCCCAAGCACCTTGTTTGCGCTGGTAGCATTGACGTACTGTAGTAAAGGCTAATCATTTTAATGTTGAAGTTTGGGAAGTAACTACTAGTATGGACGTGGCCTACAAGTTTGAAAAAGAATCGAATCTACAGGATTCTTCCAGTAGTCTGCTTGCTCTATATTTCTAATCCAATAAATACGGCACTACTGCATGGTGTGATAAGGGCCATTTCAATGAAAAAATACGATAATGAAGAGTGAGCAGCAACTCCAGAAGTATAGTACTGTAAGTCAAGATTATATATTTTTAAAGTATGATGCTGCCTAGCTTGTCAGACGCTTGAGGGACCCATACAACGCTAGATGCTACATGTGTATTCACCAAGCTCCTGATACCTTGGCCACATGATCAGTCCGCTACATGTACAACAGTCGAGTTTGCTCAAGCGTCCGTACCAGTACGGTTCGTACCTACGGTAGGCATGAGGGCAAGATTATTCTGGATTCTCAGAAAATCTTTAAATATATTACAGCTCAGCTGGTTTATAGTGGAAGATCTCGGCTGTTTCCTCTCTACAGTACCACTTCTCGCAGAGAAGACAACCAGCAACAAAGCCACCAAGTTGGTTATCGATCTGTCTCTCTTCGATTGCCGCAATGGCGACCTCCCATTCCTTTCCTTATTATTAGTGTAGAGATGTATGTATGACTGAAACCATGAACAACTTTGTTCGTCGACGAGTCCACCCAACCCCCGCTGCATCAACGGACGGAGAAGAGGAGCACCTGCCAACAGCATCTTCCGATGCTACAACTAGTACTACACCCAGAACCATCAGATTCACCGATTGGTCCTCTAATTCTGTAATTCGATTTCTCCAGAGTCAATGGCGTCATGGCGATTGGAGAGACAAGACCGTCCTGCTACTGTGGGTCAAAATATTGCTAATATGTATGGTCTTGCTGACTGCCGTCGACTGGAAGACGCCCACGGACCATGTGATTGTAGGTCACGGCCAGCGAATCCCCGTAGTTGGCACCGACACCATTCGCATTCCCATGGAGGACGTTTCCCGCCTTCCATCGATGGTGCTCTTTCGATTCCTGGAAAGCTGGTCCGCCCAAAAATTGAGACGAACAGGGGAAACCGCGCTGATTCAATTCGGGGAACAATTGCGCGAGCTCATGTTGCTGGGATCGGATGCGTTTCAAATGACAACAACAACAACAACAAATACCGAGGCAGTATCATCATCAGTGGATTCTTACAAAACCAACTTATTTCAACAAAAGATCCAGGCCATGGCGCCCTGGTTGCGTGGAGATCCCACGCATGGACCAAAAAACTGGCCCATGAACCAAGTACCAACACCCGACAACAAATCACGCGCCGTGGTGATTTGTGCCGGGGACAAGCAAATGATGTATTTGGAAGCATTGTTACATACGATCCGAAAAGTCCACCAATCCCAAATTCCAATACGAATCGTTTACAAGGGCGATCAAGACTTGTCTCCCGAATCCAGAAAACAACTACAGAAACACTACTCTGCTGCAAACGACGACGACAATACACTACGGTTCATTGATTTATCCATACTCTTTGACTTGGATCACGAACGGGTTCAATTGGGAGGCTGGAATTTAAAACCCTTTGGCATGTTGGCCGTACCCGAAGCACAAGTGGTCCTACTCGATGTGGATGTCTTGCTGTTACGACCACCCGAACTGCTTTTTGAACAGCCGAGATTCCAAGAACGGGGAGCTCTCTTTTTCCGAGATCGCAGCCATTCCGAACATCTTTGGACACCGCGACAATTTCTGCTGGCCATGCAACCACTCTTGTCACCAGCCGCGCAAAAAGCACTCGTCAATGGCCATGTCATGAATGAACACATCCAGGAAGCCGGTGTGGTTCTGATTGACAAGTCACGGCGATGGCGGGGACTTTGGACGGCTTGTTTGATTCTGGGAAGATGGGATGTTCGACGGTTTATACAGCGGGATATCATTTATGGAGACAAGGAAGTCTACTTTACCGCCTTTGAAACCATTCATGAGCCATACAGCTTTGCACGATACTATCCGGGAGTCATTGGCAGCGTTATATCGGATTTTCATGGAGACAATATGCAATATAATGACAATATGCAAGGTCTTTTGCAACCCTTCATGGCGCTTTGTGGTCGTATGCTTCACTTTGACGAAGAAGGGCTGCCGCTGTGGTCCAATGGTGGATATCTGACTCGAGAAGATGATCGAACGGCCAAAGAGGATGTCGCTGGACGAGGATTGAAACCAATTCTCTTTGCCGATGGGGGTGATTCCACAACGGAAGCAGGTGGTGGTGGACCCGAAGGGAACCAGAAATGGCTCTTCAATCATGACATTGGAGTCCTCTGCATGTTCCCCAACAAGAGGATGGTGCGCCCTGTCAAAGAGGAAATCGTTCGAAATGCCAGCAACGCCGTGGACTTTTACGTGAAGAATTCGAAACAAGGAGGTTGATCCACGAGTCTATAGTACCAGGGCAACTACCACCTTTTTGAAGGAGTGATCAGGAGATCCGAGACGAGGAACGCGTCCCTTCGCGTCCTCTATTCATAATTCCAGCTGATTAGCATTCTCGTTTGGATAAGAGGGCAACGCGTCCAAATTTAATTGCCACAAGAGAGCTCGGGACTATTGAAGCAAACGATTCTTTTGACAAGGCAGCTGTCCTCATGGAAAGCTGGGGCTTCCAGCTGAGTGCATCAAACATCTGCTAATCACAACCATGAAGGTTGCCTGTCTGGTTCGGTATTACAATTGATTGTATGTACTTTGGTACATGAATCAGACTCATCAAAAACGAATCCAATCGGGCTCATTAGCTTTTGCTAGAATACTCAGGTCAATCGGTATGGATACATGTAGTAGCTACAGAAAGAACAGTCTAGCCATGGCACCACCCGCACTTTTCAGGTAATCTGGTTTGGTATCCGCCAAGTGCTCAATAGCTACCACTGTTGCCCCTCGTGTTTTGTAGAGTTCCACTTCATCTGCCAATTTCTTGTCAATGAACTCATTGGCCAGTGCTTCCCAAGCCGCTTGTCCATCTCGAAAGGTGCCCTGGCCTACAACAGAATGGCCTGGCCTGGGAATACCTGTAGCGATGGCACGAACTGCATGATAGGCCAACAATTCGTCATTCGACTGTATCTTGAGTTGATGCAGAATTTCACTGGCATTCTTATTGTCACTACTACTACTGACAGCCTCATCATCATTGTCGTCATCATCGTGGCATTGTGCCGCCACCCAGTCACACAATCCATGGAGGGTCGCCATGGCCTGAGGCTGTTCTGCTTCTTTGGAGGCATCTTCCAAAGCGACATCCAGCAACGGCAAACAAACCTCGGACAATGATTTCTTCTTCTCGGCAACAATTTCCCCCAAAAGCTGCGCCCCAAAGATCATGTTGCGATGAGCTCGCAATGTCGCCACTGGATGGGTGCTGTCTTGCCGTTGCAAGACCAGCTTGTATTCCCGTGAACCATAGGGAAAGTCACCCAATTTCTGAAGCACAATTTGGGGCTTGGGAGTATCATCATTCTCATGATTATCCTTATCACTGGTGTCAGTGACAAGGCCACGGCGTATTATCGAGTGGTAGCCGCCAAAAGTGGACGGGAAAGACTGGTACGGTGATTTCGGTTGCAACTTTGACACTGTTGGCTGGCCTTGAAGACAGGAAGCTTGAGCAGCACGTAGAAGAGTCGATCTGCTTGCAGAGAAACTTCGAGTTGCACGTGTCGTCCTTGGAATAGTGGACCGTCGAAGCCACGGCAAAACAAGATGATGGGAAGGCATGCTGATCTGACGAAGCTAGCGCTTTCGGTACCGTAGGACAGACACTTTGGCCTCAAGGAAGCAGCTGATGAGCCAGCTAGCTAGTAGCTAAGAAAAATAACAGCACTTGCTTCTTCAATAGAATTATTGTGCGGTGTTACTGTCACTCAACAACTCAAGCACTCACAAAGCGACCATGGCCATTGGCTCTGATCTCACGGCAGTTCAGCAATAAACCAGAAAAGCTGAGAAAAAGGCCAGGTCCTCCGGAACTCACCCTCCCAGAAAAGTGGCGACCAGACCAAACGAAAATCCTCACGGCCATAACTAGCTAGCTAGTAGCCTCCAACAACTTCTACATGTAGTACGATATCCGGTACCAAATCATTTGATGAAGCCGAGGCTTGAGATGGTCACTCTTGAAGCTACTTTCATTCATGAAACTACGGTAGTCTAGGTGGAAGGCAAGCACACACAATTCAACGACACGGTATCGCAACGAATGTGAGGGGGCATTTCGTCCGGGCGTTGGCAACGTGGCTAAACTCGATCATTTAATTTTTGTCCTGGATGACTATACTCCGTGCTCATCGTCCATTATTCTTCACTATATGTCGAGCAGCCGACTACAGTACGCTTCACTTTCATTTCCTTCTTGTCATGACTGCCAGCCCCCATGACAGAAACAAAGCCAGATGCAATGGAAAGTACAGATATCCAATGTATGTGGTATAGTAGGCATCCTCAAACACGGCATTGAGCAACCATGTGGGAGGCCATGCCAGAATGATCCACACGGCCATTGCCCCCCATAGCCACCGTTTGTCCTGGTTCCATTCGGCAAAGGCGATCATGGGAGTCCAGAATGCCGCCGAAGGATACGACAAGGACACATTTTGAAAACAAATGGGGACGTGTGCGTAAATTGTCATCAAGCAGACAATCAGTTGGGCACTGCGGATGGAATCGTTGTGACGATGATTTGTCTTTCTTTGACTGTTGTTGTTGTTGTTGACCTTTTGGTACAATATTCCAGCACAGAAGGCATAGATGATACACCACAAGGTATTTCGGAGTGTTCTTGGATGTTCTTGGCCCATAGTAGTGCTGGTAGTACTGGCAACTAGCGCGTCCATAACGACAGTCGCCCCGACGACGAGGGTCACCATCCATGTAATGACATTCCAGTCGAAGCGTCGAATATCCAAGAGGCCCAAAGAGGCCGCCCTCAATACCATGGGTATCAACAAGAGCAGATTGGGCACGAGATACTCTTCGTGCTTGACAAATGTGGTGGGACTCGGCAGTAAGTAGAGCGGTGTCGAGTGATGAAGTCGTTCGTGTAGATTGGACAGTGCCCGGAGTGTCAGTTCGAGTTTGTGTACCAAATTGGCCACAAACTGAGTTTGGTCACTAGCGTGTCGTCCTTGAATGGATATGGCATCAATCCCTCGTTCCAACGCCAGGGCGTGTGGTGCCAGCGGACCCTGGAATAGGGCGTGACAAAACAAGACGAGATTTCCCAATTGATGGGCCCATTCTTGGATTGGTTTGGGTAAATTGTCAAGTTGTTGTTGTTGTTCCCATGCCTCGTAGGGATGCATGAGCAGGACAGTCTTGGTCTGTTCATGGATGCGTCGTTGTTTGCTGCTAGAACTCAAGGGAGGTCTTCGAAAGACCGTCATGGCAGCATTGACCAAATCCATATTGGGCAAGATTCCATTTCTGCCTTGTGCGAGTATTCGTATTTCGTCTGCGTCACCGGTGGCTGGCTGTGGATTTGTCAAGACGATTAAATTTCGAATCATGGCATTGGACCATCGAGTGGGCAGTGGTTCTATCCACCAGACTTGCTGTGGTGTTTCAAGCGATCCCATGTAGGCTTCTAGAAAAAAGTATGTGACGTCGTTCAAGGAATACTGATTGTAGTCGTTTGTTGTTGGTGACACGAGCAGAATGGTCTTGGACAACCAGGGCACCGATTCCGCTGATCCCAATCGTCGCATCAAATCCAACAAGGTGACATGCAGTGGACTGGTCATCCACGTTTCTCCTAACGGAGGATGATCCACTACTAGCACAATGGCTTCATTGGAAGGTTCCAACGTATTGGCCACTGGCACTAGTCGTACCAACTCAAAGAATCGATTGGCGTAACATTCCACATTGTCTCCACTACTATTCCACGGCAGGTCACAGAGCGATGTTGTTGTTGTTGAATTTTTGTCGCTACAGCCAACACCCGCATGGGCCGTCGTGGCATGGTATCGATACTCGGTGGGTCTCAAATTGCCCGTCTCCAAGGAATTCTCATCAATGTAGTACCCTCGTGGTTTGCTGAAATCACCCGTCAAAATGGAACTGGTACCATGGCAACAAGCCCAAATCACACCCACGCAATACGGCAACACAATCAGTACTGCTTTCCATTTTAGAATTACATCAAACAACACCTGGCTTTTACTTTTACTTGTAGTAGTTGTGGAGTTGTCGTTCGTCATGGTGGAACTTTTATACTTGCCTGTTCATCAATGCAAAGTGGCTGATGTTGTGGCACCGTTGCTTTGCCATGCTACCAGCCAGAAGACCGGTTCCATTGCTCAAGACAGGTTCCATCCTGGGTGGTCCCTGGAATACCGCGGAACAGTCCGGAATGGATTGGCGCTGGAATGATTCGATTCTGAATCCTCGCTGGTCACTGGATCGGCACTGAAATCTTCCCCTTGTGAAGTTCATGAAAGCATAAAACACCATCAAATCAAAATAAGCCATCACACTTCATTTTTTCTTGTCACTCCTCCAACCTCTAAAGTAGATGTACTTTGTCACTCTCATGGTAACATTCAGAAGGTACTCCCCACAACTACTTTGTCAATATTAACATGCCCGTCACAGCGGTTTTATCTAGAAGTCCATTCGGTGACAGTGTAACTCTTCAGGAGCTAGCGAAGTGGAGGTTGGCGTTTTCTCTTGATTTTTGACTTTCTGGCATCAACAGTGGTGACGGAAGCCATTTTCCAGGCCTAACCCCCATTGCCTTTCACAATAGCACCACCCATGAAAACAAGAAGCCCGAATCTACATCGGTAATACCAGCAAAAAGGAAGAAATCGGTGGTGAATTCCTAAAATGAATCCTCTGTCTCGATCCACCAGTCAACAACAAGACGATCGATCGAACGAAGACGATCGATCGAACGAAGACGGCGACTGCTACTACTATGGCAACAACAACAAACAGTCGCTACTACTACTACAATAACAACAAGCCGACGTTGACGCCGATGGCAGCAAGAACGGCGTCGGCATCCTGTCGGCGGAAGATCCTGTTGGCAGAAGCAAGAAGATTTGAGCTTTGAAACTTTGAAACACCATTTTCCTGTGACACTATAGTAGTATGTGCACACTAAAATAACGTTATCTAGATGTACTTTTCCTTGTTGTTACAGAGTACATGATACAAGTAGTTGGACAACATGGTTGCATTGGTGTTGCCTGTTGCCTCCCACAAGAAGACACTGATGAGAATAACACGGGGAGATACTGCACTAGCTAGCTAGTAATGTGGAGGCACTCACGTCAAAGCCTTAGAGGGAAATTGGTGAAGACTTAACAAATACAAGAAATATCTTAAAGGTGAGATCAAAACTGGTTCCGTAACCAGTCTTCTGGCTGGTAGCATGGTTGGCTCCTTTGTTGTTTGTTGGATCCAAGCGGGATCCGTTTTCTCGTGACTCAACATGGCACATCTGTTTCTTTTTTCCAAAAGATCCAAGTCGAGACAAGAACAAGTCTACCACAACATGAAAGTTGTGAAGAAGGCATTGTTTTTATAAGGAGAAAGCCTTCAAGATGAGCATGATGGTCAATGGCAATCGATCCGCCATTCCATACTTTGGAAAGAATGGGAAGGCATTGAGCGAAGAAGAACGCAGTGAGATTGCCAAGCGAAGAGGGGTGTGCTGTACGTGTGGAGTGCAAACCCATCGGGTGACGTTGACGGTTCGAAGACACATGAGCAATGCACAAGTCTACAAGGGAATTTGCATTCGCTGCAATCAGGATTCGGTACCTCCCAAAGTCTATGCCGAGTATCGAAGCAGCAATAATGATAGCAACAATAAACAGCAAACTCCATCACAAATATTCAACCGAACTCCGTCCATGGCGAAACGCGGCCATCGAAGAACCCACAGTGATCAGAACACGAATGATGGCAACAGCAGTGCAGTGGCGACGACACGGCCTACCTATCAAAGAAGCCGCACAGATCAAACCCGTCACTTGGCCATATCCGAGGATCGGCCCATGCCCAGCGGTCAAGCAAGAAGCAAGAGTGCGGACTTTGATACACAACAACCTTCTAGCAGTCATTGGTATGACCAAACTAGTAAATCTCTCCTCAAGATACATGTAGAAAGGGAAGAAGAGATCAGCATGACAGCAGCAGCAGCAAGTCATCAGAATACTACTACCAATACCAATAACAACCTTGCCACCAATGTTCTCACGGTATTCGAGGCATCCCCACTGGCATACGAAGACCAAGACGGAACGGAACGAGCGCTCCCATCTCTGGATTTGGCCACGGAAGCATCCGTCTTGAAGGATGCCCTCCAAGACACCCCCATCCAATTAAACTTTCAAACGGCAACTGCCAACAAACTCGGGGCATTTCTGTCTCGAGGAGAACATTCGTTGTTGCATTTGTCCTGTCACGGACAACAAGACTGTCTCTTGATTGAAAATTAATGCGGTGGAGCACAACAACTGTTGGTAGAAGATCACCTACGACCCTGGATTCAAACTGCGTCCTCTAGAAAGAATTTGCAATTTGTGTTTGTCTCGGCCTGTCATTCCCGATCGGCAGGAGAAGCCTTTTGTGCGGCGGGAATTCCCCATGTCGTTTGCAGCGAACAAGACATTGACAATACGGCCGCCATTATCTTTACACGAGACTTTTATCGAGCATTGGCATATGGAAGGACGCTTCAAGAAGCATTCGATCTGGCCATTCATGCCGTCGTTTTGTCGCCCGAATTGAAACGGCGGGTCGACCCAATCCAGGAATCGCAAAAGTTTGCACTGCTTCCGGAAGAAGATGCCGATCACAGCATTTGTCTTATTATTACTAATAGTAATACGATGAGCAGCAGCAAGACCAATGTACCACCAATGAACCTGTCTTGCAGCCATTTGATGCCCCAACACTCCTTGTCGGTAATGTCATTTGGAAGTTCTAAGACTCAGATGACGGAGACACCTCCACAGACAACATCATCAACAACAACAATTCTCTTGCCACCACTTCCTCCTCACTTTTTCCTCGGTCGACAACTCGACATGTACCAGGTTCTAAAAGCATTGTTTGTTCGACACTGTCGACTGGTGCGTGTCGTCGGGCCAAGAGGAATTGGAAAGGGAGCCGTCGCCAAGGCTGTGGGGCATTTTGTGGCCAAGCGACAAATGTGGGGAGATGTCTTGGTGTGGCTCGAAACGTCGGCTCGAAAGCCCTTTCCGGAATTGGATCGTTCCGAGAGCGCGTGCGACAGCAATTGCAGCATTGTCTCGTTGTTGCAAGATCTTTACACTGCGCTGGAAGAAGAGCAAGACGACACGCAGGATGGAACCGTTCTGAGTTCCACGGCACAATCCATTTGGAAGGAGTTATACGACAAAAAGGCTCTGCTGATTATCAGTACCAAAGAGCTACCTGATAGAGCCCTGCCCAAGTTGGGACGCTTCCTGGATGGAATATTCGAGAGAACCAAGCATGTGAAGGTGCTGTTGGTCAATCGCAAGCTGGCCGCCAAAAGAGTCAAATCCAAGAATGTAGCTGGCTTCTCATGTCCCGAAGCCATGATCAGTCTCGCGCCGCTGGATATTACGTCGTCTTTGTCCCTGTTTGGTAAACTCTGCCAACACACGTCACCCAACAGTTGGTCGCCAGACGATGTTGTTCGTACCAAACCGGAAGAAACCTTGTCCCGCATTCTAGGAGACGGGATACCTGCCAAAATCCGAGTAGTGGCCAAGAACATGACACTTGCCGAGTATGAGAAGCTTGTGCATCCAACAAACAGTGCTTTGTGCCTCGAAGACTTTCCATCGGTCACCGACAGTCTTCGCGGGATGCCTGAGGATATCGAGGCTGTTTCTCGAGACGACAGCCATACGTTTGTTCGGGCCAGTCAAACTGATGAAAACGACAAAAGTAGTGGCCAGCAACCAATCAACAACCCACCAGATTCAACAATGCGGTCACAAGCAGAGGTTTGCTTGCGCTTCTGCCCGATTCTGAAGCAGTCGAAAGTTTATCGCAAGAGCGTCACGAGCTTTATTCGAAAGGCCATCAAGGGCGAGCACATTGTTACTTCGCTCAATGGTGTTCAAGAGACACAACAAACAGTCAAGGATGATTCTAGCTGGGTCGTGTACGCCCGGGCAGCAGGCGAGTACTATGTTGTGTCGGATGAAGAGTTCCGGTCAAACTATGAGACAAACAATGCCCGTCCAATTGATCCCGCATCTCCATCTCCTTTGGCCCGAAGGCTCCGTTCCGAGGGATACCAAGAATATTGCTCCGTGCGTCGAATCCAGGCCCACAAAGTCGATGTGGAGGACATGAGCTTTTTCGTTAACACTGGCAGAGAGACAAGTGCAATATCAGACACAACGACAAGAACTCCTGCTGTCAAAGATGCTGCTCACTTTGTGGCTCCGTGGGGACAGCCCATGCGAGTTGAGCTGGGCGACTATCTTGCAATGACGTATCCAACTGCAACAAAAGAGGTTTATCGGATAGAGCAGTCTGCCTTTGGTGTTTCCTACGTAGACTGTGCCAAGAATGAGTTTGCTTCTGCGCTCTGGTTATATGCTATTTCGCTGGTTGGTGCCAAGAATGAGTTTTCTTCTGAGCTGTGGTTATATGCAATCTCTCTGGTTGTTGCTTTTTTTGCCTTGGTTTACTACTTCCTTGCTACTCCATGATTAAGGCAAAGAGAACGAAGGTGGGGTTGTAGATATATGATGAGCACGGACGGGTTGCATCATGATTCTTTCTGGACCCTTGCCACTCAGGTAGCCCCTTCACTTTGTATTCCTCCCAAAGATAATGAATCCTCTGTCTGGCCATGGTTGGTCAAAACACTGCATTTCCTTCCTTGTTAGCCCAAGCACTGCAATCCCTGTAATGGTTTTGCCCCAGCCTTTTAGTGGGTACCGGAGTAGTAATTCCATGGCTGGCTAGCATGCCCCAATCAATCTGCTGTCTCCCACAAGTCTTGAGGAATGGAAAAGTCATCTGCAGATTCTATATATCCTAGCCGTCGCAGAATCATTTCGGCGGCGTGCAGGCCAGACAAGGAAGCCCCATCCACCCATCCGTTGTGATGTGGTGGTACAGGAAAGGCTTCTCCTGCCACCACTAATTTGCAGCGTTTCCACAATTGCTGGGGGCCACCAACTCGACGTGGACCGTCGTCGTCGCCGTTGTCGAGTTTTTTGGGTCGCAGCACTGCTTGATTCGAGTAGATGCCTCGGATAAAGGGATTGGCACTCCAATTGACAATCTTGTGCTTGATGAAGTTCCGAGTGGCCCTTTTGCGACCAAAGACTTGATCGAGATCGTCCAAGACGATTTGCACCATGTCTTTTTCCGACATTTGTTTTTGGTTTGGAAGAAGAAATCTGGATTGAAAGGGTTCTCCGATGTAGTATCCCGCAAGAATGTTTTGCTTCCGATCAGACAGTCTTTTATTAGTATAGACCATGCTGTAGTCCCAAAAGTCCATCTCTCCGTCGTCCGGTCTCCATTCAAAGACGTCGTAGTAGAACTTGCGTGTGAATTCCAAAAAGATTTTCATACCTTGCCACATTTTGGACTGAGCAATTTGTCTCCGGAATCGACGAGGTAGGGGTGGCGAGAAAGTAATGGCATGTTGTTGGTCTTGCAGAATGGACAATGGTACCGTTATCAATACATGATCTGCCAGGAATTCCCGTTTTCCACATCCCACGAGTATGCTGTCGTCTTTATGTTGTATGATTCGATCAACTGGACAGTTGTAGACCAAGTGCTGCTGTCTTTTGCTGTTGCCAATAAGGGCAGGATGAACAATATGATCGTGAAGAAAGTCATACCAGGTATAATTGACCCAAAGATGATTGTCGTCTGCGTGCATGTCCATGGACCTTGGATGCAGTTCGTGTATATCGCTGGCGTCGTCGTCATTGGGTACCATTTTGATGGCTTGGAAATCGGGCAACGTCACGGGAGCCACATGTTTGTGGGACAAGTCCAAGCTTGGATTTTGCGCCATGAGGGCCAACCGTGCCGGGTCATATACCCAAGAAGCTCCCAGATCCGGGGGATAAAAGTCATGGGAAAACCCCGAAGTGTCCTTTTGGACGCGACCACCAAATCCAGAGGAAGCTTCCATAATCTGAACATGAATGGGTGGTTGGTTCTGACAAGACGGATTGGATGATGACTGTGGAGCTGCTCGTTGTTGTGTGATCAGACGCTTGGCAGCCGTCAAACCACTGGCTCCTGCCCCCACGATAATGACACGTTTTCGATCACAAGGATCGTAGTCACCATCATCTTTCGGACGATAAAAGTTTCTTGTAGGACCATCCGCTTCCTCTTCTTGATTGATGGGTATTCTTGCATGGGTCTCCAACGATAGAAGGTTCTGGGAGACGTTGATTACCGCCATCAAGCACCCTCCAGAGATGATGATCAAGATAATTAGAATCCGACCGTACTTCCTACTGCTGCCCATTCCTCGTTTGTCCTGTGATGAAAACATGCTGCTGCCGTACCCTATCCTGGCTCTGCTCTGGCCGAACATAGAAGGCTCCTTCTTCTTCTCTCTCACTTTCCAGCAAGCAGTGGCTCGCCTTGGGGTATGGAACCATTGCGTATGAAAATTGCCAATGCGTTGGAGCGCCTCGGCACAAAAGTGTTTCTGTACACGACCAAAAGAGCCTTCAGTCTTGCTTGCGTATTGCTGACGTTGATACTACAGTATTCGAATGTATGTTCCAAATTCGAATCAACTGGATAGTCGATCGAATTCGATTCAACAGCTTTCAACCATGCTGGAACCATGATGAAGGGCGACAATGACACTGTCAGGCACCATCCCGGAGGATCCCAGAGGAGCTTTGCTTCTTGCAGAATTCATCTTGTCCTGTGGGCCCATTTGGAACCGCAGCCATGGCACCTTGGCTTTGACTGACTGTACCTCCATTGTGTTGATGTGACTGCGGCTGTTCCAATGCTTCATTGCCAGAAGGAGGAACTAGACATGGTTTGTGCAGCAGTACGGTAGCATCTTAGCTACGATTTCATGCATACGGGTATGGAAAAGGAATGTGACAACCAAAGGCATTCGTCTACCCGTTACCGGCAGATGCCAACCAGTTCGCAGCAAGTACTGCGAGAGGGGGCTCTCCAATTCTTGCTTCCGTTTAGGCCTTCCTGGTCAACTGCATCTTCTTCGGAGGGGGTCCTTTCTAGCAAAGTGTCTTCCGTATGGCGAGGGCTGTCGTCGACTGCAACGGTGAAGGAGCAGCTCTGAGAGTGATGGCATCTGGAGAGAAAACAAGTTCGTGCCACTTTTTGCCACGATCGAATGAATCTTCTGAAAAAGCCAGCAGGAGCTGTAAGGGTCGGACTGATCGGTCTTGATCCGGGTTGGTTCTTCTCAGGAGGAAAAAAGAAAGGGGGGGGGAGGGTGAGCGTCCTTCCAGTCGATGCTTTTCTCCTCTACCCTCATATGCCTCCACGTGTAACATATGGATGTCAATTTCCTTATATCTCGCATGTCTTTACATGTCTCTTTCTAAGCTTAAAGTCTACACTCGATTGCACATTGTTTGCTCCTGTCCAAATATTCCCACTTAGAGCGTGAAATTTCGGTCCTTAACCCTAGCCGGCAGTTGAAAAATCGAACTCCACCGAAAGCAATGACAGAAGAAGACTTGACTGACTGATTCATTACTAGTAATAGACCGACAAGCAATGGACAATGAGCAGACGAAAGCCAAAGCAACTATCAGAGGCTCAATGGCGATTTGTGGTAAAGACTAGGGGCGCCATTGACAGCGATCCCAAGGGATTCTTCAGACCACCGAGAGATTGGAGGAATATTACTCCCACCAAGGGAGGTCGCTATGACAGCATGCTGCTTGATCAGCGTGGAGCAAAAAGTACCGCGGAGCACTTCTATGTTAAAGCATTGGCTGTTTGGATACCCCATGTATTGGTTCCAAACCATGTTCCCTGCTGTCCTCATTGCAAGAAGCGAAACGCAGTTGATCTGAAGAAATCTCGTTGGGTGAATTGCCCCAAAGTGTTGTTTGGTGTTTCGCGCATTCAATATTTGGACACCATGCTCTACCTGTGCACCAAGTGCGGCCGAAGATTTGCGGGCTACAACAAGGAATCAATGCAGCTGGACTCTTCGCTCTACTATGGGTACTTCACCTTTTTTCTTGGGCATGGTTTTGCTGTGGACGAGAATCTCCACAGCTTGGTGGTGGAGAGTTCCTATAAAGAAGCTACCGCTGCAATCGCAAAGAAGCTAGTCCGCATGGCATATATGGCATATTATGAAGACCACCAGTTATATCTTACAGCCATAGGACTTGACAAGATCCGGCCAAAGAAAAAGCAGAAGACACTTCCACAATTGATGCCACCGGTCACAACTAATATTGCCACTGCCCACCAACGCCTCATCAATGCCCAGAATAAGGCCATGGCCGATGTCCGCTCAGCTAGATCAAGATATGATTCTGCGAAGAACAGGGCTGCTGCCGACTGGTCATTCCGGTCCATGCTGTCAACCAAAGACAATCACAACCACCACGGCACTCGCAATTTCTTGAAAGGCCTTGGCTCAACGAAAATTCGTAAATTGTTGAATCATGGGATCGACACCTGCTTTGAATTACTGGCAGCCAATTACAGGGATTACCCAAGTCTGAAGCCCATGCGCAACTGGCAGATAATTGTTCAAACTCATTATGACCAGCTGAAAGAAGTCATGTCGTCTCGGAATTTGGAAGTGGAACGCGCCATTGAAGCATATAATAACAGTGTTGACACCTTGGTGGAATATCAGAGAGAACACGGAACAGCTCCACCAGTTCCTGAAGATCCGGTGACAGACCAGGAGGAACCACTTGTTGCCTTTTCAGAATTCGGTGATAAAATGGGGTATAATGGACGTGTCTTATCCAAGTACAGAATCGACAGTCTTGTTACCAGTGTTTTCCACCACCGAAAGTCCTTTCAAGAACAGAAGATGTGTGGGCTGACCGCAAGTTTGCTCAAGATTGATTTCAACTACAAGCTGGCCCAAAAAATAAGAGTGTGGACCAAGCAAGGATGCAGCTTCCAACCATTCAAGTGCATCATTACAATCCAGAATGAGGATGGTCTCACAGTGTTCTGGAAGGCACTGAAGCATTCAGAGTCCTTTAGCGAAATCAAGGAAGATCTCATTCGATTGAGGGATCGATTGAACAGGAACGCACATGCTGCAAAGGGAGATGGATTCGGTCCGGTGGAGAACTGTGTCAAAGTCCTCTACGTGGACAATTGTTGCAATGTTAAGAACATATTGAAAGGGATCTTTGCGAACACCCTCATCCTACTCGATCCTTTCCATTGGTTAAAGCGGTGGAATGAGTTGATGGTTGACCAATCTTCGGTACAAGCTGGAATCTTCCGTGGGTTGATGTCCCGTGCTTTGTTTGTGATTCTTCCACAGGAATACCAAAGAGCAAAAGAGAAGCTAGAAGACAAGTTGGATAGGGAACCAACAGTGAAAGAAATCTTGAAAGAGGCGAAGTCCATTATCCCCCCACCAGCAACACTTAGGAGCAACGTTGAAGCCGTCATCAACTATGTCCAAACCAAGGATGCCGAGACTTACAGGGTATTGTCTACCCGACCAGCTGGTGATAACTCCCCTCGACCGAAGCTGTTCATGAAGCAGTGGAAACTCACAGACATTGTAAGGAAACAGATGGTCCATGTGGATAATGGATGTCTAAGCGATCCACCAACATCGCTGGTTGATATCTTTCGGCGAAATCCTGCCACTGATGTTACTTATGTCGCTCGTGGCACTAACACCAATGAGCGAGACAATCTCGACTTGGCTACCTTGTTGGTGGCCACGTACATTGGTAAGTTGAAGTTTGTGCTCTCCAAACATCGCGTTTTTGGCTACTGAAACATTGCTGGTTCATTTATTTGTTCCATTGACTATATAGGTGTGCATCGCGGGGAACGGATTATGTGCTGCTTCTTTGAAGAACGCAATGATAGGAAAACCGTCATTCGTCTTGGTGGAAAGGATTATGGGATCCTCAACACAGAGAAACTGCTGCTATTAAATGCTTATGCAGAGAAGGTGGGGTTCCAGGAGCTACCTTATGACCTCGCGGCTCCAAAGAAATCCGTCGACCAGGCAGATGAGTACATGGGATTCTCTTATCAATCGATGGTGGAGACGACAGAAGTGTCCAATCCTACGGACGGTACTACCGATGGCTATGGATCTGGCGATAATGAAGAAGATGTCCCTGATGAGGAACAAGTGCCGGAATCCCAAGCAGAAATTGAGCGAACCATCGGCAGAGAATTAGGTGATGACCTGGATATTGAAGTATTCGGTAGTGAGGAAGAATACATCGCTGCAACCACCGCCAATACAGCAGCCACTCGCCGAAATGCTGAACTCAATGCCGCCAGTGAAAGAGCGGAGGCAAACGACAGGGCGAATCGACTTCTCATTCAACAAGAGCTGAACCGTCTCCTCCCATCAGATGGATCCTCCGAAACCACACTTGAAGCCTTCCGACGGCTCACCAACAATTGCCAATGGATACCATTTCGCTCACCCGACAGTTCAACAGGAGCAACTGCCATTGACAGAGAAGAAGCCAGTCTCTTTGATGATTGGGTGACTCGATATAATAGGAATATCGCCAATGGAGCACAAAGCTTCAAAGCATTCGAAAGAGACTGGAATGGGGAAGTGTCGCGCCGTTTCAAGCTTTGGAGCACAGAAGGGGACCAATCTGAGGTGATTCAAATAAGGTACAAGAGTCGTTTGCTTTTACAGGAGCACTATGACAAGGTACAGCAGCTGCGCAGTCTTGAGGGAGTACTGCCAACTGATGACAGCGACAGGAATCGGCTTGATGGCCAGCTGCGCAGAAACAGACAATCGATTTCTGCCACAGCGGCACCAGTTATCTACAACACTGCCCCTGCTGCTTATGTTGGAAATGGCGAAACTCCACTTGGCAATCCAACAGTACTCAATGCAGATGTAACTGTTGGGGCGGTGGCTGCTGGCAGAGCTCAAAACAACACCACTGCAACTGCCTTTGCACTCGCCCTCACTCAGGTCCCTCCAACAGAACCAGCAAGGCCCACCAGGAGGCGCTTCAGGAGTAGAAGATATTGCAAGCGCTGTGGATTCAAGAGGAGCAACCATGTGGTTTGTGATGAGGGTGTGGCTGCTACCTGTACAAGAGACTATTGTGGGAGGTGCAGAGAGAGAGAGGATTGCCATAACAATGGCTTTGGTATCAGCTGCACAAAAGCTATCCACCCATGGCAGGCATCAACAGTTGCTGATTGGTATGAGACTGTGTCTTGTAAGTTTTGACTACTATTGTTACCAGTGACACTGTGTTGGATAACAAACAACAACAAGTCTTACAGTTGCTGCTTCCTTTCTTTTCTTTCCAGAGCTGACACATATTCAATACATTGGGTAAGAGTAGCCACCATGATGGAGAGTGAATGCAGCTCTGTTGATAATGTACTGCTCACTACTGATTGTCATTCCACTCAGATTGTGCTTGTGCTGGCTCCAGCACTCTGTGTCGAACCAGTGCTCCCACTCTGTAAGTAGCAATTCCTTCACTTCAATATGGTCTACACCAATACCTTGCTGGTGAAGGGCACCTCTAATAAGTGGTTTGATTGCCTCTCTGCACATCTCTTTCTTTGTAACAGGTTCATGTTCATACACTTCCCATGCCAGTTCAGACAACACTTCACTGTACCATTCATTGCTGTGCCTGACACCCCACACAAACATCTCCTCCAAGAGCCAAGTCTGATCAGGTGTCATTGGCAGCGCATTCCCTTCCATGATGAGTTGCTCCAGGATGCCACTGGACAAGTATCTGGTCTTCACAAGATAGTACTGGGTTTTGGGATCTTCCCTGTCTGTTTGATCCTCCAGCAAAACATATTTGAGCTTATAACTCTGCCTGGTTTTCCTTAGTTCATTGTAAGGGTAGCGACTGTTAACATCTAGCCACTGTTTGAATGCATGACTAGCAGTAAACAACATGATGATGTAGTGTCTGAAAACTTGCGCTCGAAGCTCTACGGACGCAAAATGTGAGCACTGAGAGAGGACGAATTCTGCTAGAGGTACGTTGCACCTCTGCGAATAAGTCTTCTATTGTTCCACAAGACTCCAACGGTCATGCGAGAGTTAGGCTCAATTTTTGAATCCGTCTAAGTAAATAAAGTATAGTACAATTGGGCACAGTGGACTAGTCTTGTATGTGCATTCAGTACACGGTCTCAATAACCTCCACTCGCTAACACCGACTGATCCCTTTTCCAGCTGGGACGTCAGACAGACGGCTATGCGAACCCCAACAATGAGAATCTTCAAAATCTGTCTCACAAGTCTCCCAACCTGTCATTTTCATCACTTTCTTTCTTAGCAAGTACTGGTACCAGGTGGTAGTGTAAAACAATCCAGAGCCATGACGCCCACGTCCCAATTATGTCCCACAGCCAAAATCATTAGCAGCATCTTGGATGGAGCCTCGGAACGCGCACTGCTGCTGGCATCCGATGGCACTGTGTTGCATCGCAATGAAGCAGCCGAACATTTTTTGTGCAAAGGCAGCTCCATCACCCAAATCCTCGCGTGTCCGGCAGCAGAAAACAATAGATGGTGGTCCCTGGATCACTGTCGCATTGTCATGGCGGATGGAACGACCACACGAAGCGAACGCAACATTCATTGGGTCACCACCGAGTGTCCCTGCTGTCCTGCCTCCACCACTTACTACACGGCCTACATTTGCACCAAACACGAACGCGTCCGAGAAGTGGTCGATCATGCTTTGGATCCAGTCATTACAATCAACGACAGAGGCATTATTGTCACGGCAAACGACGCTGCCACGGACTTGTTCCAATACACCGAGGGTGAGCTTGTGGGTCACAATATCAGCATGCTTTGTGGTGGGGAACATGCCAAGAAACACGATGCCTATCTGCAGAATTACCTCCAAACGGGAGTGCGTCGTATTATTGGTAAGAAGAGAGAGGTAACGGCTAAAAAGAAGGATGGGACCGAAGTGCCTTGTGAGTTGGGCATTCAAGAAATCAAAGATGTTTCCACCGGGAATCGATTCTTTTGTGGATTCTTCAAAGACTTGACACTCTTGAAGCAACATGAAGCCATGTTACAGGAAAAACAAGCCCTGGCACAGGCCATGGTGAATGCTTCGTTTGATGGAATGGTGGAAATTGATCAGCAGGGGATCATACAAATCGTAAATGACGCCGCTTGCAACATGTTTGGGTACACCAGAGAAGAGTTTTTAGGAAGCAACATTTCACTTATTTGTGGCGATGGCCATGCCAAAAACCACGATGCCTACCTGCAACGATACATGGAAACGGGACAAAAGCGAGTGATTGGGCAAAAACGACAGGTAAAAGCGCGGAGGAAGGATGGGACAGAGTTGGAGGTGGAACTGGGTGTGCAGGAAGTTACTCTTTTCTCGGGAAAGAAGGCATTTTGTGGATTCATCCGAGACATGACACAGCAAAGGAAAGACAAAAGGGCATTGCGAAAGCAGCAACAGCTCATTCATGGCAAATTCTTTGGAGGTGAGGAGTAGTGGCTGTTTGAAACAAAAAAGTTCAAGAGCATTCATACGCGGTGCATGCACATGCAATCCCTCTTGAGGTGCAGGTGTTAGATAGATGTTGTGCTAATGGCAGTGTAGAATTCTGTAAAGTCAGACCATCCCGACAAAAGACACAAAGGAGGATATCATTCAATCACTTTGGTGCTGTTGCGAGAAGTTCTTTCACCACTGCGTCGGGTGGCAGCAATGTGTCCCTCCGCGATACAGCATTCAGTTCCATGACACCGGCTTCATTGAAATCCAAACGGTAGGCTTTGCCTTCGGCAAACCAGCCTTTCCGGTCCCATTCCTTGAGACGTTCCATATTGCGAATGATCTTTTGTTCCAGAGAGGCGGTATCGTTGTTTTCTGCAAGCGAATCAGCCATACGCGACAAGGGCACAGTTTGGACACTGGTCAACACTCCCTTGCGATTCTTGCCCTTGCACAGCGTAAGGCTTCCACTTCCCACCATTTGAAAGAAGACTTTGGTTCCACCGTATCCTTGTTGTAAGAGTTTGACTTCGACGGGATGTTGTTGTGCTCCCGCGCTCGTTGTTGCGTCGGCTTCGGCTGTCATCAACACACGATACTGGCCAATCTGCATCACCTGAACATGTTCTGTGAACCCGACATTGTGGCGAGCACTCATGGGCTGCCCCGTCACCAGTCGTTCAAATTGAAAGCCCGGGACAGAGTAGTCCTGTCGGATTTTGCCGAGGTCGTAATGGACCATTATCATGTTGGTGCCCGGCACCTTGAGGACCAAGTATGGCACCATGTGGCGAATCTTTTTCTCTGCTGAGAGAATCTCCAATGCAGAGCATCCAAAGAAAAAGTCCAGTGTCCCCAAGTCAACTTGTGTAGAATGATTGGCAGCATGGTACAGGGACGCCACTCCAACCTGGCCGTATGGATACCTATGTGCCACAACTTGTCTCGGGAGGTTTGTACGAAAAGTAATGGGCACTGTAATGTTGGCAATAGAATCCACCAACGAGGGCGGGGCAGCAGTCTCCCCCGACACGGTGAAATTCCTGACTTGGCCCGCTGTGGCTTTGGACAATGATTTGTACCGATAGGGAGCTCCCTTCCCTCGATTCCTTGGAGGAGGACGCCAACTGACAAAGCCGAGATCAGCAATGCACCGGAACGAAGAAAACCCGGCTCTATCGATGGCCTCTTGGAGTCCAATGGCTGGTGATAGAGGGTCCGTCGCCATCTTCTATCGAAAGAGCTTGGGGGATGGTGTGAACGGTATCTTGGCTTTCTCATGGTACCGGTCGGTAAAAATTCCAGGTTGAAAATTTCAGATGGGTACTGGTACGGTACAGGTACCGTACCGGTACGGGTACAGGGTGTGCAGCCACGAGTGCTACCGGTATTTTGGAATACTGTAGGAGCCCTTTTGTTTCTTTCTGGCTGCATGCCTACCATTAGAAAGTGACTCCATCATACTAGCTAGCTTCTTTCAGAGAGTGGCCACCAGTGCGAGGATGGCATTAGTGCTAGATAGCTAGTAGTACGAGACATGGAAGCTCAGGTACAGCATCTAGTTACTACCGTACGCTCGCTAGTAATGTATTGTCACCAAGTCAATGGACACACCCTTGCTTCTCGTATGCATAGTCATTACTAACAACTAACTAAAAAATGTACACTTTGTACTCGTGCTCTCGTTCACTCTTTCGCACATTGGTTTTCACCGTCACCGGCCGCACTTTTGTGTTCCTCAATCTTTGTAGCAATACGGGCCCTAAAAGCTCAGCTGGTGTCCCAAACCCGTCTTTACTGCGTGGTGGCAAATTGTCGCGATCGAGTACCAAACTCAATGCCGATTCGACGACACACTGTGCCGTGACCATGTTGCCGGGATCTCCTTGGAACTCCATGTAAACATTGGCACACGAAACCTTGCCGGCTACCGACAGTGGTGCCTTGACTTCGGCATAGACTTCGGCATGCCCTTTGGCACACATTTCATCCGAAGCACCGGTTCCCGGCGGAGCAAACACTTTGAGTAGTAAATCACTGAGAATGGGTATTTGTAGGATCAATCCTCCCATGGCAATGGCAAACAGAATGATGAGACTGGGAATGGTGGAAAAGAGTCCAAATCCCAGTGTCAATTCGAATCCCAGTGGTAAGAATCGTTCGTAATACGAAATGTTGGGTCCATAATTCAATGCCAGGGCACTGGCATGAACCACTTTGGAATTGCACACGCCCATGAAAAAGGGAATGCTGACTCCTTGTTTGAAAATGGTATGTGGATACGGCAATAGATTCCACCATTCGGCCAATGCCATGCGATTTCGATCGTCTTGATGATCCGGATTGAATCGAACCGTTTCGGGATGCGTCAAGACGAGTGGATCAAATAGCATAAAGAGAACCGGACGCAGTGAATTGTTGTTGCTACTGTCCAAGAAACACCGGCCAATATCGGGTTGCATCTGATGCATGGTCGCCAAAGTTCCACCTCCGGCCATGCCAAACACGGAATGCCACGTTCGTGCCGTTTCTACTTGAGCGTCGGGTACTTTTGCGCGCAAGGCTTGCACAGCGGCAAAAATGGACAAGTCGCTGGGAACGGAATCAAATCCACACAGCGATATAATGCGGGCTCCGGATTTGGCGGCGGCCGTTCCGTACTTGACCCGCATGGCACCGACCCAA